ACCTCGTTTAATTAAATCTAATTATACTAATTATTATTCGTCAATTTATAATTATAATAAATTCGTTAAATTTACCCTATGTACTTTTACCCTATACTGTCATATTATATTAGATTATAACCTATATATGTAACTAATATTAAGAAACTTTAAATGAAAAGTATGTATTTCATGTTAACATTGTTTAGAGATTGAATTGAATGTTAATAAGTGCTAATATAACAAAAATAAATTAAGAATCTTTATTTCTTAATGATGGACTTTATAGCTTTTACAAGTATATAATTTTCAAAATTTTTAGTTATAATATGATAAAAATTGAAAATACCTAGGTTTTCTTAACTTAGTTTTTAAACTTTTATTATTATTGTAAATAGTAATGTAATTAATAAGTGCAATAGTTGAATAATATCCCAATTTACAATCACTATATTTATTTTTATTTTAATTTTAATTAATACATTTTTTTGGCTTTTTTTTATTATTAATCTGATTGACCAAGAAATTATAATAATTAGTTATTGGTATTTAAAAATACGAGTACATATCAGTACCTAGTTAATTGTTTTAACATTTACGTGTATACAATTGTTGAATGTAGAGTAAATGCAACAAATAATTTCACTATAATTTACGAATTACCTAACAAATAACTCGGTTAAAAATACAAATTCTTTGATATAATTAGTTTATATTAATATTCAAATGACAATACTATTGTATGTTTATACTATATACTTTTAGCTTACATGATGTTTGTGTACCTCAACTACACTGGAATGAGTTGACGTGTTTTATCATTAGTATATACCTATTATGTACTTGGTAAAATAAGTTGTATATATTATATATTAAATTATTAGTTGCGTTTTTTATTTAGTTATTGAATTAATACAACAATAAACAAACATACTAAAATTATAGTTTTAATTTTCGATCAATTATTTCCTTATCTGATGTACCTATTTGCAATAATAATTGCGTAGATATGTAAGTATGTTGAACTTGCTCATATTTAATGCAACGTTGCCAAGATTTTTACGCGATTACAGTCAGATGTAGAACAATTAAACAGATTTAAAGTTTTGATGAAAGAGATATTCGTATCAAATATATTTTAAAATTGTAACTATAGTAACAAATTTAAATTTTGCTTATTATCTTATTATTTTTCTTTGTTTTGAGTAGAATTTGAACTAATTTATGCTTAATAATAAAACGTTCCAACATGTAGTTTTCTTTCTTATTTTTTTTTTTTTTATCAATGATTATTCTTGGTAGTATTTATCGGTGTTACTGATTTCTACGTGTACAAATTTAAAATATAGTAGTAAATATTTATTTTTTTGTTCCCATATTTTGATTAAAATATCTACATATTTTTATTATCATTTTAATTTTGAAAAACACATCTCAATATCATTCGGAGAAAAATTTAGCAATATATCGTTTTAAATTTTTACTATTCAAGATTAACTAAAATGTCAAGATATATCAAACGTAAACAATATTATTGCTGTGGGAAAATGTATAGCTTATGTAATCGTACCTTCAGTAGTTTTACAGATACTTATTTCCTGTTAGTAATGAAGTAATGACGTACCCAAAAAAAACTCTTGTTACATATCGTATTTTACTTATTTTTATTTATCATACAACTTTTACTAAGTACATAAAAGGTAAATTCATAGAAGGTATTCATTCAGTAAGTTAATAGTCCAAGTTCACGTTCGAGGTTATTATTTCCTTAGGTAACAATATCTCATATATAAATGATTAACGACTATTATTGTTTTTGATGTGTATGCTTTTCTAGATCTAAAAAATGATTCATAATTATTTTTAATTTTAAATTAACTCACCTCGTTTCATGGTGAAAACCGTTTTTAATTTATTATTTATATTCAATAAAAAATGTTATCATAATTGTTTTTTAAAAAATCCAAGTTGTTTTTGACATGATATTTTATATGACTTCTTGTTGAGATTACAATTATTGACATTATATTATTAAAATGTTTTATTTTATTATTTATTTGACAATAAATTACATATGTCTTTTTAAAGACGTGATTTTTTTGAATATTTATAATATTTTATTTGTAACCGTATAAACTCTGGAATGAGATGAAATGGCTATTATACACTTGTTTTCTTGACCTCTAGTCCATTAAATTGTAAATATATGTAATTATTTGTCTAGTATAGCATATTTAATTGTGTTTATAATGCATCTGAAGTAATTATGTTACAATTATGAGTGTCTAAATACGTGCTGAAATCATTATATACTGTATTTGCTCAACGGCGTGTTCTCATTGCGATTAGTTATTAATATACCTAGATATATTACGATATATTCGATATATAACATTTGTTATTATTTAATTATATTATTCCTAGTAAAAATAGTATGCATATAAGTTATTAGAGACTTTATTCGCAAAAAACTTTGTCAGATTAATACTTAAAGTCATAATACAATAAAATAATAAACGTATAAAAAGTGGCTGTATTATATTTCGTTTGTTAGCTACAAAGAATGAGAATGTTTAATTTTCGTAACCGTCATCAAAATTAATAACGATTAACAGTTTAAACTGAATCCTGGATGTTATAAATAAATATAATACGTGAACAGATTGATATCGAAAACTATTACAATTTTATTAATTGTGATCGAATTTAATATTACATTGTTAATTTAAACCAAATTATTTATCAGACATTAACCACTATTATTATGACTATGGTATTCACACTATTATTTTATAACTTTATTCTTGACCTATCCAATAATAGCAATTTTTGAAATAATAACATGTTACTATTTATCGTATACCTCAATTTCTATGTACTGAACAAATTATGCAACCAAAGTCAAGACCTTGATGAGAGATCTAGCCCTATTTATTTTAATTAGACTATCCAAATTTCTAGGTTAAGGACATGTTACTGGATTTTTCAATGGATCTTATGAAGAGTATAATATTTCTCAATTGTAATATATAAATTATTGTTTTTAAAAGGTTTTTTCATTTTTATATGGTTTTTGAATAGAAATATTTTGTAAGTATAGTTTATATGTATATTTTAAACTACAACGAGCTTGATTAGATGTACAATATAATGCTGCAAAACGCGTTTTGATAAATTTAAAACTACAGTAGAACTGATCAGAATGAAATTTATAAATAGTTAATTAAAATATTTTCTCGAGTTCTGATTTATAAAGTATTATTCATTGTGTTAAAGCATAATAACTTATCACATACATATGACTGATGTATCAGTTATCGAAATTATAAAATAAATTAATAAGGAGTAACTAAATATTGATTAATTTTATGTAGTACCGTTTGATGTATTTTGATTTATTCATGTTTATGATTTTCGAAATCGTTATTATACAAACTATCATAATTATTATGTTACATGTCTCGAGTTCTAATAGTGGTTTTATTATTACTAATTATTTATCTTTTTCTTGAGCCCTCGTCTTCTAACTATATGGGATTCGGACCCTCTCATTCACCTCCACGTGATCGATTTCAATTTCATAAAATTCATACAACCATATTTCTCTCAATCTACTATATAATTCCTCGATTCTTGTTTACTAATTATAATAATAATTATTGTATTATTAGAATCGTTTAAGGTAATAAAATTAGTGTACGATTTGCATTCGATAGTAATTTTTATCTAAATCTTAACTTTATAATTTCTTATTTTATACTTAGTTTTATAAGCAATAATCTAATGTCTATTTTATTATAATTTGTAGGTTATAAATATGAACTCAAAAATATAGTAATATTTGAAGAAAGTGATGATATAGCTATACATGTATAACTAAAAAAAATACATATTTTATAGTTCACATTTATTTTCTACTATTTTACCGTTTAAATCTAAATGATAGGTATAATAAATATGACATGCACTTTAGACCTCGAGATGGCTATTCATTTAAGCGAGCACTCATAATCAACTGATTATAGCTCAAATCAAGGGCAGCGAATTATTAAAACACGTTTAGTGTTAAGTGCATTTTAAAATGTTTACACATGTCAAATTTTTTTTTTTATTTTATGATCTTTAATTATAACTTACTAGGTAAATTAAAAAAAAAAAATGATCCATTAAAAATATTCATATATAATTGTATTGTTAGAAAAAAAATTAATTAAAACTTGTGTTTATAAAAAAAAAACTGGTATTAGGTAGGAAATTATCATTTAAATACTTAGAATATAATTTAAAAAAAATATATACTGAAAAAATAAAAATTTGAAAAGATAAGCAGTTTAAATATTGGGTCATATATGGGTCAATTAATATATTTATTAGATATGGACAGGCGGCAATCGCCCCTCTACCACCTTTGGCTCATGGGTTTAGCATATATGTGTAAGCTCTGCAAGAAATGATTAAATTTAATAAAAAATAACAAAGGAAACATTGTAAATTATATATAAATCATACTTAAAATGTATGTGACTACGTCCAATATCGGCCACAACAGATTATAGTTTTGCAATCTGTTATATTTACATTTATATTATTTTTATAATGCTTTTGATTGTCTTGTATCATATTTTGAAATTATTTATACTATACGTAGCGAAATAGTGGGAGACGCGTGTTTTCGTATAATTGTAAGCACTTCTAATTTTTCATTGTAATAGATTTAATTTTAATTTTTCTTATCGACGATTAGTCAAGTGACGACGTCGACCGCTATGATAAAGCGATTAATTTAGTACAGGAGTGTTTTTTTTTTTACATGTAAGGTAATCAAAAATAGTTAAAGAGATTTTTGCAAAATTAAGTTGTTTGCATTCCCTTGAAACTTGTGCCACGCCACACGCCACTGTAATATATTTCAACTACTTGTACCATACCCAAATCGAAAACCGTTTTTATCGGTGAACTGTATTATAGTTAATCGTTTTTAAACCCTCCAAATTAATGAAAGTTAATCGTTGTCATTCCAGAATCTTCGTCAACCGAAGTTTACATTTGGAGAACATTAAATTCTATGGATTCGATATGGATTATACGTTGGCCGGTACGTGATAATTGTATAATATATTAAATACTCCTTATTTTGATTTTCATGTTTGCATTTTCTATAAGATGGACAACTGACTAATGTTTTAATAACGAGAGCAAACAATATTTAATCCATGTCCTGAAATATTAATTTGTTTATAGAGTACAAGTCGCCGGCATACGAAAGATTGGGATTCGCATTGGCCGTCGAAAGGCTTGTATCGCTCGGATATCCAACTCAGATATTGCAGTTCGAGTACGATCCGACGTTCCCAGTTAGGTAAGTATTTGATTTAATTATTTCTCGTAACAATGCGTTTTTGTATTTATTTTGTCTCGTAAATTGTTATACTTAATCAAATGTATATACGTTCTTATTAGTAGAACAAATCAGTTCATTCAGTATTCTAATATTATTAAGTATTCTATTAATTAACATTACTATTGTCAGGGGCCTATGGTTCGATTCGTTGTACGGCACTTTACTTAAAGTGGACTCCTACGGTAACATACTCGTATGCATGCAAGGTTTCGAGTTCTTGAAACAGTAAGTATATTACTTTAAAAAATGTATAATGTACAGACGTTATTTTGTCGGTTTTCTTATACTTATTATATATTTATTATTACATCTCTGTTGCATCGAGATAATATTACTACCACGGTTATATTGAGTCGTAACTGTGATGTGAGTCCTATATTCACACATTTACTAATCAGTTCTCAGATGTATGAGTTGTACCCCAACAAATTTCTTCAGCTCGATGAATCCCGTGTCTATGTGCTCAACACACTGTTCAACTTGCCCGAAACGTATTTGCTGGCTTGCCTGATCAACTATTTCACTACGTCCCCTAACTACTCGAGGTTCGTGAGTATAATAATATAATGTGCGCGTGCCACGCGTATAACACATCCTGTTCGGTAATCGATTTCAGCGTCAAAATATACGTGCAGCATAATTGTAGTTATTGTTTTTGTTTATGGTACGTGTAGAGAAAATACCGGTGTTCGAAGTGGCGATTTGTTGATGTCATTCAACTCAATATTTCAAGACGTGAGGAACGCCGTAGACTGGATGCACGTACATGTAATATACACAATCATAAATCGTTTGGTAAACGTGGTGATCATTTTATAGGTACTCGCGTTTTCATTGAAACAAATATCTTTTACATTTTTGTGATGTTGTGGTTATATGAAAATCATTAAGTTCTATCGGATAACTATAGCCATATAGGTACTATTCACTTTTACGAAAACAAAAAGTAATTATAGTTATAGGCTGTAGTCTGAATGGTAGCAAAAAATTTTAGGTAATTTTTCGTATTGTATTTCGTATAGGATTTCTTTCGTTTAACCGTAAAAGATGTTATTAGATAATTAGGAAATAGTTGTTTTCATGGATACATATGTAGGTGTATGATCAAGTACTAAATGATTTAATGTACTCCGAATGAAATAGGTATAATATAAAATTATATTCAGAAAAAGATCTAGAAGTATATCACAATAAAATCTGAAACTATAAAATCATCATATCGTTAAACCGATTTCGTATAATATTATATACAGATTCAAATGTATGAATGTTTAGCAAACATAATCATATGTTACTTCGTTTGACACAGGGTGATTTAAAAGAACGAACTATCCAAAATTTATCGGATTATGTTAACAAAGATCCGAGGCTACCAATGTTTTTGGCTAGAATCCGTCAAAGTGGTGCTAAAGTTTTTCTTTTGACCAATAGCGATTACTGGTTCACTAATATGATAATGACCTATCTGTTCGATTATCCACATGGCGCTTCGGTAAATAATTTTCTTTAAGCGGCATTTACCGTTGATTTTACTGTTTTACTTGTAATTTTTCAATGAATTCATTTCACAGCCAAGCGAACCGCATAGAGACTGGCAAACGTACTTCGACATAGTAGTTGTGGATGCAAGGAAACCATTGTTTTTTAGCGAAGGAACGATTTTGCGACAAGTAGACACTAAAACTGGTGCATTGAAAATGGGCACCCACATTGGGCCTTTGTTAAAAGGTCAAGTTTACTCGGGAGGTATGTATAAGGTTGATGAATGCCCATAGTAGTTGTAAAAAGGCTGTTATCTATGTGAAAATGATTACTGACTTCGCATATAATGCTGTAATTTGTCGCTATAACAATATTTTTATGTAACACTATTTTACTATAGGCTCTTGTGATATCTTCACAAAACTTATCGGTGCCAAGGGCAAAGATGTTTTGTACGTCGGCGATCATATATTCGGAGACATTCTTAAGTCAAAAAAGATACGTGGTTGGAGAACGTTTTTAGTCGTGCCCGAATTAGTTCAAGAATTGCACGTGTGGACTGATAAATGTCAGTTGTTTGCCGAATTGCAAAATTTTGATATAGCGTTAGGAAACATGTACAAGTAAGTGGCAAATACATAATTATATAAACATAATTTATATTATAAGAAAGTTTTAGTATTTATATAAATACAATTCAATCATTTTTGTACCGTGTTATAATCGAGCATTTTGTTTGTTTTTAATCAGAAATCTAGACAGTAGTACGAACGAAAAGCCTGATATTTCTAAGCTGAGAATGGCAATGCGTGACGTTACCCATAAAATGGATTTGTCGTATGGAATGATGGGAAGCCTTTTCCGTTCAGGATCAAGGCAAACATTTTTCTCGTCACAGGTCACGCGATATGCAGATTTGTATGCAGCGACATTTTTAAATCTAATCTATTATCCATTTTCCTATATGTTCCGAGCACCGGCTATGCTGGTGAGTAAAAAAAAAGTATTTAGATTTAATGCATGCAAATTTAAAATTTACTTAATATTACATGACTAGTAAAATATAAATAAATACAAAAACATTAAACCTTCTCTTTAGAAATTTAAAAAAAAAAAAGGTAATATTTTTATTTTATGAACATTTTAAGCAATATTCTCACAAGACATATACTGTAGGTACGTACAATACGTTGGCGTATAAAAGTTATTTAAATTTGAAGATAAATGTTATCTGACTATACTATTGAAAATTAACAATCATTCATTATTTTATCCATTTAACTGATATTAACATGTTACAGTTTAAAATCATTTCGCTTTATTTTTTCTAGTACCCAAATATTATTTGAGTGAACATATCTTTATTGTCTTAATATATTTTCTAAAAAAAAAAAAAAATAACATGTTTATTCATTGATCAACTAATATAAGTATAAAGAATAAATTATTATTAGTAGTAAAAATTGCCTTACACATAATAATAATAATAAAAAAAATTGGCTGCCAGGGAGATGACCTAATTTGATCGAATGCACTACGCAGTTATAGTGTACCACGCGCAAATTAATATTTCACGGTAAATACGCAGTAGTTAAAAAATGTTTAAAAAAAAACGCTACAGGTGAACGTACGTGGCTATTACATTAAATCCCCAACAGAGTGTATTTGTAGGTAATAATTTTAGCGATTTAACGTACATATTATATTTTAATATAATTTACGTTTAAATTAAAAATAAACTAAGTATGACGCATCGATCAAAAAACTCAAAATTATACCAATAATTGCACTTAAATACGATCCTTAATGTTAATTTTTCCGCTAATTTAACTGTTTAAATCTTTGTTTTTAAATTCATTGGGTCGTGGTCAGTAAATTTCAAAATATTATCGATTCTCGACTAAACTGTTGTAATAAGTAATAACTGTATCTATTAGTGATAATTATTTTATTTATCTACTTCTTAGTCTATATGCAGATCTAGCGTCACTTTATTATGTACACCAATATTGTGTATGTTCTGATTGATCTGATAAAAATATTATTACATAAACGTGGACATTTTTATAAAATATTTGATGGAAAAAAATGTTGGTATTCTACTCTTTTTTTATCTGTTAAGCCTATATGAATCATATAATTGTGTTTTTAATTGTTAAGTCATTTGATCAGTGTTTATTATTAATAGATTTTTTCAGTCATCTACCATTTCAAAATAAGTTTATTTAATTTTAAAGATTGATTTATCGAGATATTAAACTCACGTTTCGTTCATTACTGACATTAAATCTTGTTAGCAAAGTATATATTACCGTTTAAATGTTGAAAATGAATAATTTTTAAAATAATGATAAAAAATAAATAGTAAAAATTTAACTATAATTTAACTGAAAATAAAGTAATTCTTGTTTGCGTTTATTATATACTTTAATTAATAATACTTTTTTTATCATGAACAGATGCCACACGAATCTACTGTAGCGCACGAACACGAACAGAGACTGAGCAAAGAAGATAATTCGAACACAACTTCACGAAAGACTGGTGAAGTGCGTAATAACATAGATGAGGTGAATTGAATAATTATTATTTTTATTAATATTTGACATCCTCGGTTAGGTTAACTTTAGAGAATATTGTAACACTCTCCCGCTCCCAAACTTGATTTAAATTCGTTTAGATGTCTATTCACTTTGACTTAAAATAACATTGAATTGTTTATTTGGGAAAAAATATGTATGGTTGGTTCAAAATATTTTTTCGAGAGTCATTTGAAATTGTATATTTTTTTATATTATATTCCGTATCATATGCTTTTTATGTTTTAATTGAAAGGAATAATATTATATATTTATAGGTAGAAACGTCGCTTAAAATCTATGCACAAATTTATTGACAAATTTGTTTTGAAACTTATAAATAATCATATCAAATTACTACAATGTATTATTTTTAGGGGTATGTCCCATTTCCGCCAAAAATCCGGTTCCCTGATTTACGCATAGCCCTATTTCGCCAGAAAAAGGTATGATTCTCGATTCCACCAAAATGTATTTTTGTGAAAAGACGTTTGGGAACCATGTACAATTGTTGCATATTCTTTCATTATAAATTTTAATACAAGTAGATAATAATAATATATTAGTAGAATATAGGCACAATTATATTAGAGTTTTTAAAATATTAAATATTCATATTATTATATGTTCATTATATTTAAATATTTATAAAGTATAAAAAAATATAGGTAAAATATTGTCTCGATAGTTTTGAAAAAACCACATCGTCATTTTTGAATATTTAAAAATTTCACAAAATATATAAATTATAATACAAGTATATGTCAAGTTTTAAAAAATTACATTCGTAAATTTAGGTCAGGCCTTAAAAATTCTTATAATTAAAGGAAACGATTGACAAAAGTGTACCTACTAATTTCATTGGAATTTTTTATATTTTATATTATATTATTTTGAGCACTGTTAATTTTTATACATATATTTTGATAATATAATATTTAAACCGTTATTATCGACGATTATGAACAATTATCGAAGATTATAAGTGTACCTATACATTACAAATGTCTTTTACACATACCATAACATATATTTAATATTGCTTAAAAATTAAAACCAATGGTTTCCAAACTTTTTTTTGGCGGAAACGGGAATCGTACCTTTTTCGTTTTTGGTGGAAAAGGGCTATGACGGAAACGGGTAACTCCCATTTTTAGTTTGTATTATAATTATTAATCGCTGCATATTATTATTAAACAAATATAATTATTGGAATAATTTTGGTTTAATTTTAAAAATATAAAACGGTTTTAACTACTTTTTGTTTATTAATGACATAAATCGTAAAATTAAAATTAAAATTGATAATTTTATTGTTTAGATAATGAATCAAACGAGTTAAACCAGTAAATTTCATTAATTTAAATAATACAGTAATGTGATAAAAGATAGATAATTAAAATAATATTTTCATATATAGTACGGCCGACGAGAAAACGCAAGTCGGCGGCGACCAAAACGTGTCGTTATACAGTAGGGTCTCGATAATCCGAACGAGCTTGAGAAATATCGCATCGCTATATTAATACATATGTATGTGTATCATAATAACAGTAAATATATATTTTAAATAATAAGGTTCATATTATGTAATAAATATTATCTGTACATACACACATATATAATTATTATAATTTTTTGATACATTGTCTTTATAAATTATGAGTTTTACATGATTAATACAGATAAAAATAAATTTCATAATTTAAATTACAATAAAATTGATAATTTTATTAAGCCATAGATAATCCGAGCAAATCGGTAATCCGAACGACCCCTTTCCCCGATTTCGTTCGGATTATCAAGACCCTACTGTATATATTTACGTTACGTTTATATAATTTCTATATAAAACTTTAAATATTGCCCAGCTAATTTATTAAAATTTCGAAGTTTAAATAGGACGAAAAGTTTATGGTTTGCAAAAATTAATTTTTCGTTTTTAAATAGTGTTATAACAAGTATTAGTAAATACGAAATCGAAAAAGGGTCTTTTTTATAAAATGCGTAGACTTTTGGTTATGGTAACTGGTCTATTATTTATTTTGTGGTTAGATTTTTCTACTTATTCGTTTCATTAGTCATTTTTACTTTCAATCAAATATAATTGACTTGGTTAGAAATCAATTAATCTTACATAAATGTATAATCATTAAATAGTGATACAAAGATCATATATGTATATGATAATGATGATGATAATATTAATTTATTAAACTAAAATACTCGTATAATAAAATCGATGTACAATTGGTTTTTAATACCGTATTTTTAATCAGATGAACTTCATAATATTAAGTCATATATATTAGTGATGGGAATTATTCGAGTATTCGAATATTCGATTATACAAATTCGAATAGGTCCAGCGTAAATAATTCGAATACTTGAATATTCGACCATTCGAATATCAGTATTCGATTTTTCAATACAATACATAACGAAAATTATTCGTTTTAGTTTTCGCGCAACACAAAACGTTTAATAATAATAGGTATTGTAGCATCGAATACTGATATTCGAATGTTCGAATATTTAAATATTCTTATACTCGAATTATTAACGGCAAACCTATTCGAAGTTGAATATTCGAATATACATTACATCTCTAATATATATATTACGTGTTATAGACAATTTAAAAAATACTACTACTACTAAACAATAAAAAAAAAAAAAATTATTGTGAAATGTACTAGTTAGGTTGCGAAATATTTTAAGAAGAATTGACAGGGTAGGAGTGCGATGTATTAATCTCGTTTGAATACAATCCCGCGCACGTTCACGTGTTGTACTTAACAATTATACTGATGGTTCGTTTTTTTCGATTTTCAATCATAGACTCAGTCGCAGTTCTTCAAACAGGTGCCGTCCAAGGTAACGCATACACACGACGAAGACTGTTCGGACGAAGAGGACGTACCGGGCGCTCCGGATGCTGCCAAGTAATTGAAATTGACGACGGAAAAACACGACAATAAAATAATGACGATACTAATAATGTGTAAACTATATTATTATTTGTATATTTTTTTCAATAGTTGTTTTCACCCCTCGTCTGTCAAATTATTTTTGCAAGTGTTACAATCATGTATTGTTTTAAATTCATATTTTACATTAATTTATATAGATATACACTTACTATTGTTATAATTATCATTATTTTTTACCGCCACACCTTGAAATCATGCGAATATATTACATCACTCTTACACAGCCACGAGTTCTAACGAAAACTACAATATCCTCGTTGTTTACCCTAGTGGCACTAGAAGAATACCCGAGGATAAGCATCATTGTCCTATGTAAGTGACACTCAGAAGTTTCCTTACAAACTTCCTGATATATTATATAATATTATATATAATTCCTAACATGTATCATATATAAACCGGGGTACAAATATTAATTAGAGTCCTCTTAAAAAAGAAGTTATTTGTAAAAGTAACTTATTTTTACGTTTTTGTGTAACACTTTAAAATATACGTTTAGGTATTTCGTTTTATAAATACACTACTAAAATTTATTGAATAAATACACTAAGTAAATATAAAAAAAAGCCTGAAAAAAAATAATAAACAAATAACGAAGCAATCAATTTTGATTTTAGATTTTGGTTTGAGCGGCTCCAGTGCAATGCAACCCCTGCATTCACGCTAAATCAGACACTGTTCATATGTCTTTCTGTCTAAAACAATACGATTCCGTCAACTATCATCTAAATGTATTAATTATTGTTCAAATTATTTACAATATTGAACCTATAAGCGCATAATATAGATAACTATTACTTCTAAAATATTTTATGAATCCTAAAGCATTTTATTAATTTGAAAACATAATTTGAGAAATGAGGTCTCAGTATGGGAATGCAATGGAATTGATTGGACATAAATGAGACATCCAACGGGTTACCGCCGCGAAAAATATCCAAATAGACGTGGATTTTTAATAACGGGGAGGACAATCCCCTGCAACCCAAATGAACTCGTACATATATATCTTTTAGGACTTCCAGTGCTACTAGGGTACACACGTGCGTGTTAATATCATTCACACAGCAATCGATTTCCGGTTAGGTGGGCGGAGGAATAGATTCCACCGTTTATTCACGTCCGTCGATATTCTTGTCGGATTCGTTATTATATAGTCGAACCATCCCGAGCAGTTCACCTCTAATTCGTAAACCGCACTTACGTTTCCAAAAGGTTTTACAATTAATTTATTAACGTTCAAATTAAGTAATCAACCGAAATCCTTAATTTTCTAACTTCGCGCGTATAATTTTAAAAACCAAATCGACTCTGAATTCTATAACAACTGTCGCGTACGTTTTTCGATTGCTGTACGGCAATATTATTGTCATACGCGAAGGGAAAAAAAGAACGATACACCCGCGCAGGCTACAGTAGAATTATTTTTGTTGTCTTATGCTTGCGTTCGAATGTCGTTAACTATAACAATGTCAAGTCGATTTGATCGTTATCGACTTACCACTTGCCGAATAATATTACTCAGCCCAGAAAGGATAATACGGATATCTCGTTTGCCAGCACTCATAATATAATCGTGTAACATTATTTTCTTCGGAATACACAGGATCATATTCCCGACCGTGTCGAGGATTTAATCGGTTTTGACGAGTTGATTTTTTGTGTAACGATCCCTCGCACTATGTATTCATCGAATACTGTTTATGTGACAAGCACGCACCGGCACAAATCAACGGCTCCCGATATTCGACAGTAATTATCAGTAGTTCGCTCGAGACCATTATGTAAGCGTTATAAATGCACATATTGTTTTTGATAATATACTTTTTTTTACACAAAAAGTCATCAAAGTCTAAACATACCGCATTACTAGTAGTTATAATTCATTTTAATTATTATTATGGTACATTTTTTTTTTAACCAGTTTATTTAAATGGTATTATATTATATTTATGAATGATGTAGGTACATGAGAAATTATAGGGAGGTTTTTTAGTTTGAAAATGATGCAGAAAACGCTAAAGTAATTAAATGTTTCTTTAAAACTCGAAGATCGTTAATTTTTCGCTAACCCCGAGAGATTTACACATTTATTAATATGACTCGATAAACGTTGTTTATATACTTTTATTATTAAGTCTCCAACACGCGTACAATTATTAGTAGAAAAAAAATAATAATAAATTAGATCGATCACATAAAAGCACACCATATTTTTGGTCAATTTAATTTGTTTTAGTTTTTATATCAGATTTGGACATTTACACGATGAGTATATGTTATACTACATGTTTCTATGCATAGTTCTTATAATGTGGTTTATGTTTATGTTTTTTTTTTTTTATACAATTATTCGATGTAAATTAGAAAACAACAGTGCATATATTACTAAGAGAATAAATAAATAAATATAAATATATATATATATAACTTTTTTTTTAATAAACAAGAAATTCTTAATACTAATTTAAAAAATAAAATGTTTTCACTACTATAACCCATTGAAGATGACTTAATTTAATATACAATCTCAATTACTTAAATTAATAAAAATATCAGTTACCTAAAAATAATTGTGTTTAAGAAGGTTATTTTGATAGGAAAATTTGTTGCCAGGTACACCTGTCTGATTTGTAGTGGTAAAGGTTAATACTGTGCGTGACTGGTGTACCATTAGGTGTTTTACTTAATCCATAGTGGTTAAAAATTAGAAAATATATAATCATAATAATAATAAATAAATTAGTATATCAATTAATACAAATAACTAGAGAATAATCACAGAGTAAAAATTAAAACAATTTCAATCAATAGTGTTAGAAATTACCTAAAAACAAAAAGCGGTGCATATGTTCTTTATTTAATGTTCATAATCCTTAAAATGGAAACAATTTATGTTTAAGATGAAAAAACCACTCTAAATATAGTACGAGATCGATGCAAAATTATGAAATAATAAATAAATAAACAATAATAATACTTAATAATTATAGAATATATAGAATAGAACAATTTGGCGTTTGAATTAGAGGTTTTGCGGATGTTGAAAAACCTAATATACATTTTATAGCACATATTATTGACTGTTCAAATAATACTTAAAACAGTAATAATAATAAAACCGTTTGTGGTAATGTGTTGGACGTATGTTAGAAAGTTATTTTTCTCGTGCAACATCAAATGTTAGCGAACATTTTATTTTTTATGATTCAGTTCAATCGAAAATACTTAAAACTATCGTCACGCGAAAGCAAAATCCGACTAAAACATTTAAGATATAATTTAAAAAACAAAATATAAAAACGATCAGTGTGAAAAAACGATTGATTGAATATCACGAACGGAGTAGGTCGTTTTGCGCAAGCATGTTGCTAAGAGGTGTAAATAAAAAGTTGTACCACGAGAAAAAAAATACATAATATTATTATGATACTTGCGTGCGTGCCAATACACACACGCACATACATATTTTTAAAGAGTAAATATAACTAAATATGACAAAAAAAGTCAGTCTAGACATCAGAGTTGAAAAAAAAACAACTGCTTAAGTACGCACGGGACGGATTGAAAACAAGACACATAAAACAACGCTGTACGGCAAAGGAAAGAAAAAAAGGATTAAGTAACAAGGAAAATGTAAAACAGCTAATTAATTATGAACTTTAATGCAATGAGAAGCAGAGGGCGGATAGAAGAGACGGAGGGAAGAAAAACAGTGAACAACGCAACTATTTTTGTACTGCGTTTGTGAAGCGCACGCACGCGCGTTCCCCTCGTACACGTTCCCGTTGTCGTCAATCTTCTTGTCCGCCGACGAAGGATAATATCCGGTGTTATCGCCATCAGGAAGTAACGTTCCCCAATCAGTCGCCACGGCGGCTGCAATGCTGTTGCTCTGCTACTTCCGGTGGCGGCTGTTGAGAGAGAGTGCATGTTCACTGCAGGCGAACGGTTTGCATTTCCGCTTCTACTGTAAATGTTATGATGTTATTTTTATTATTATTATCGAATACTGACAACTATTGTATAATGGAGATCGAGGCCTATATGGAGTTGGTTTGTAGTGAGGATTCATTCAAGCTTGTTTATTTCGGCGTTTGTGCGGAATTTATGGCCAGTTAGTGGCTACAGGAAATAACTTTTATTAATCAAACCTTCGGTTCGGGTGAATTATGCAATCAATTTGAAACAAGATTTTATCTGAATTGATTTACTAGACGTCGGCAGTATATTTTCAATAAGTATGGAAAAGTGCACGTCGTCTGAATCGTACGCGTCTTTAACACTTTTCCAAGAGCAAATATTTTTGGGAAAATGTGACTATTTGTGTAGGTAATCAATATAATTAGGATCAGACACGGAGAAATAAAAATATTCTTATTACTCTATGGATTAAGAAAATATTTTTATGGGGGAATTTATATCTACGTTTTACGTAATTATGTTATATAATTACATCTATGTAATAATACATTTAATATGTGTTTATTCCACAAATATGTGGTTTATTCAGATCGTGTATGACTGTATAAGCCTATTATAATACTTCATTTACATTCAGCCCATTTTCGTGGCAGTGAGCAGGGAAGTGGGCAGCACGAGTATGTGAACACGTAACTCGCGCTGATCACGCTCCTTGCATTGTCACTGCCCGTCGCTCCCGTTAGGAGCGGTAAATTGAGCAGTGCGAGCAGCAGGTTAACCGACAGCGTGATATTAGCACACATTAACAGGGCAATGTAGACGCTCACTACCTACGACGCTGCCACTGAAGTATTTTGACAATGAAATACAGCAGCGCGAGGAACAGCGGCAATGGCTGAATGTAAATGGGGTATAAGATATAATACAGAACACAATTTAATTTTCCAACATTGTTATGTAATATATATAACCTCTATTAGCATATTAACTATAATTGTTCACCACTAAGAAATAAATTATATAATAATTAAATCAAAACTACAATAAAAACGTGCATTATTAAAATATACTAACAATACTCTACTGCTTTATTACGAATATTAATCAATTGTCAAACAAAAATAGATATGCACGCACGCACGCACGCACTCGTACATATCAAATATGTATTGCATATTACAGCAATCCCTCGTTATCCACGGTTGGGTCCACGATAACATATTAATGCAATTGTGATTGCGATAACGTTTTACCATTATTACACGAACACTGTAGAAATTTATTTTTGACAATAATTGTAGATAATTGTTGTTGTATCAATATAGGTATAACACATAAACATTATACATACTTATATTTATTGCAGATAAACCACAAAAGGTTACCTACATATGTACGATTAATAATCGTCAATTGCTCAGTTGTAAGGTGATATTTGTGCGTGACACGTGTTTAATTAATTTAGTAGTGAAAATATTTTTAAATGGCTTCTAGATGTAAAATGTTAATAAAAAGAAGAATAAATGTTTTATCATTCGTTCAAAAAATTGAAATTTTGAACAAATTAAAAAGTGGTGATACTGTTGCGTCACTTGCTAGAACGAACAAAATTAATGAGTCTAGTGTTCGAGAAATACGTAAAAATTAAGAAACAATACGATAGAATTAATAAATTATTAATTGATTAATAATTGATTTTTAAAATTAAAAAAATTAAACCTAGCCTCCCTTTTTACATTGATTTATGGTCTCGTTATCCGCGCAGGTTTGCTGAAACGTAACCTTCGCGGATAACGAGGGATTACTATATTTAAAAAACCTTATAAATCAGAAATATCTACGAATATTTTATAATTTGCAGTCTCCTTACAAAAAATGTTAATATTTATATAAAATTACCCGAAAAAAAAAAACTAAATTTATATTGAATACTACTATACAAAAAAAATGTCTAAGTGCTACAATTTGACATAATTGAACATTGAAATTGAATAGCTGACAATGAAAGACATTGTTGACCAAATAAATATTTTAAAATATTCTTTTGTTATTATTATTGGTTAAATAATTATAAAATTATAATATGTACCATCGTAGCTTAATGGTTATTGATTGTTCAAAAGTAATATAAAGTTTATAGCAATAAATTGTATGTATAAATGATTTACACCTATATATTTTTAATTATGCCAAGTATATAGTAAATTCTGATAAAAATATAATCCTACAGTATTCGTAAAAGGATTTTTAAGTATTCAAATTAATTTTTCAAAACTGGAAAACACTTAACCACTTCCTGCATAGCAACAGAATGTATATATCTATAGTATTTTGTCATATAAAAATAATAGAAAATTAAACTTACGATTCATATTTCATACAAATCAAAACGAAAAAAGGGTAAAAAGGGTAACCCACTTTATAATATTATGTTAATTTAGTATAAAAATAATAGAAAATACGTTAATTTTGATTCTATATACAGATAAATTATAAATCCACATAATAAGTAAATTAACCCAATGTACCAACAAATATGGTTGATTATCAAAATCTACAATGACTCAAACAAAACAATAAACTGTGCAATTCACTATGGTAAAATGTTTATATGTTTGAGAACATGCTTTTAAATAAATAAATCACAAACCAAAACAAAAATATTTGTACCATTAATTTCAATATTGCTATCGCAAAAAATTTGAATGTGAAGTTAATTTCTTGTGGGGCCTAGGTGATATCCCGGCTGATATTATTGCATCCACATTGGCCCCATTCTTCTTGGACCAATCTATTGACAACCCTATATTTTACGTACAACTATGTATTCTTACTATTTATCAACAATCTAACGCAGGATATTTCAAAATAGTATATTCAATAAGTTTAAATTAACTTACCAACATTAAATTAGTGTATATTTATATCTATTTATTTAAATTACCTTTAGAATTCTTGTTTCGATGAGAATCTATGAGTGCAGCAGCTAAATTGGACGACGATGAACTAGATATGTAATCGTCAGACTTATACTTATCTAAATTGAATCAATACCTTTTTATTTAGTGCATAATCATATTTTCATAGAAAAATGTTTTAACTCATGGTTTCATATTACCTGAATTACTCTTAAGAGAAGGTTGTTGGAAAGGTGATGTAGTTTGTACCGGTGAGTAAACATTTGATATGAAATCTTCAAAAGTGCTTGAGTGTTTGTAATTTTTTATTATCATATCCAACGACCGCCATCTTTCTTCATAACTGTAATAGTTAATTTCAGATTATATTCCATATTTAAAAAATTATTTTATTTTAGATATAAGACAAAACAATAAAATAAAAAAAAATCACATACTACTGTTGATAGAATGGTATCATACTACGTTTAGCACACGATGCATTGATTGCTGAACATCTTACAACATTGGCTAAAATAGACTTCTGAACAATAACTTCATTATATAATGGCCCAAAATATGGTACCTTCACAAATAATAAACATTTTAATTCACATATTGGTATTTGTCATAGGAATTTTTTAACATTAATTTAAAATTTCACTTACTTCTGGTTTTCTGGATACTTGAATTCTAAACAAATTATTAGGCAATGGGTATATGACAATAAGAACGTCACAAAACTCTGTAGGAATAATGCCACGTCTATAATCTTTGGAATGTTCTGACCACACAATATGGACTTCATCATTTCCCAAATGCCTTGCCTGTAAAAAGATGATTACATGAAATAAATTGATTATGAAATATAGTTTTAAACGCACTTTTTGGATGTAAGCTTCTTGGGTAGTAGTAGTTGGCATCCGAGTGGCTACGTGAAATACGACTTCAAGAAATGATGTTGAATAATATGGAGTTGTTGTACCAGCGTTTTTATTTCGTTGAAGGCCACCCATAAAACCATTATGGGTCTCCAATTCCACCTAATTAAATGTTAAACAATCAAGTACCATTTGTATAAATAAGTAATATATATGAAAAAAAAAGAAGCTCCTATTTCTTACTTCCCAAGCTAAAGCTGAAATGAAGTCTTCGTATGCTTGACTGCCACCAGTATTAGATATGATAGATACCTTATCTTCTTGGCCTTCAGCAACATAAATAATGGCTATTTTATGGGTATCTCTACAACACTAGACCATACAATATAACAGATTATTATATGGTAATTTAAGTTAATATATAATATAATAGTAAAGTAATACTTGAGCATCAAGAACGCGTAGTTCTCTTAAAACCTTTTCATTACGTTCGAGTTGGTAAATTTGTCGGCGTTGGTCCCAGCTGGTAAAACCAAATTCTGAAAACAAAGCTCGGCCATTTTGGAAAGGAGATTTATGCATACTAAATTGAGGTCGTCTTTCCATGCTATGGTAAGAATGTTAACAAATATTAAAAATCAATATTATTTATGATAAAAGTATTCATCTCACTTATTGTAATAAACAGAGTTCAAATTTTCTGTATAATTATTGTCCATAAATCTTTGTCCTAATATTGTACTCATGACATCTTGTTCTAACTGTGAAGTCATAGGAGATTTCAATGCAGGATTATTCAGTAAGACTTCCATATCTTCTAAACATTCCGAACTTGTATAACCAATGTATTGAAGTAACTATAAATAAAAAAAATAAAAAAAGTATAAATAAAAAAAATATTGACAGAACATAGTAGTAATATACATCATCTAGATTATCAAGATCGTCAGCAGAATTTTCAAAAGTTGGCAAAACGTTTGGAGCTCGATGTCGGATAGTGTGTTGTATTTGACAATTTTTATTGTATGTTACAACAATAGAATCTTCAGTTTCATTATTCTTATGGATTGTATTAGTTATAAATAAATCATCAACTAAAAGAAATAATTAAGTTATTTAATTGTAAAAATTTGTATTTAATTTTTTATGATTTACCTTTTTTGTGTTCACAATTAGGACTACAATATAATGGTGAAATATCCCAACAGGATTTTCCAACTAAATCACGCTGTATAATCCTCACTTGATTTAATCCTGTTCTTAATCCTGCAGTGATACCTCCACCAGGTACTTCCAATGCAGGTAGTTCAATAATAGACATAACCAACATGTTGGTCGCAGACATGAATAACTAAAATAAAAAATAAAATATATTAAATGATATAAATATCAATAATAATAAGTACTTGTATATTGGGAACAGAAAATATATCAACTGTAAGCTGTTCTGAAATGAAATTTAATGTATCATCATGTTCAGACACCATAGAACATAACCTAGAGGGACCAATTAGCATAGGAAATTGACCCAAATGATTTAACAAATGGTTAATTATCTGTAAATTAACGAAAAACCATATTATTATATTAATTTTAATGTTATAAGGATAAATATTAAATTCAAACCATTTTAGTAGCAATCTGAAGTGAATGCCGGGTACTATTGAGATGAGTAGGAGTCATAATATGATCACCAAACATATTATTGTTTTTCAGCTCACCAGTTTTTAAGTTGTCCAAAGTTATATCATAAGAAAATTCATTTGAATATTCTAAATTTACTTCCATTGCTCTTTTTAAGTGCTCAATAGTTTTATCATTACAGGTTCGGCTAAGAGCATCAATGACCTAAATAAAACAGATTTAATTAAATATTCTTCAAATTAAAGTGAATTCATTAATATTTTTTGTACATTCTATTTCAAATTGAATATAATACTTATTTTTGTAATAACTGAAAATATATTTGAAACCAATTTACTCGTATTTTATTTTTATTTTTAGATTGTTATGGATGAATAGTTTATACAAAAACTATCAAAACCTTACTTTTTTATTCAATACTAAATAATTAGTAATATAAAATAAGAAATTTATGTAATTCATACCATAAATACAGTCATTGATAAGCTTTGTTTAGACCGTAGTTCTAACAAAAGTGGTACTGGCATACGCATCGTCCATTCAGCCAAACAAAATACTAGAGATGTTAATAAACGTTTATTTCTATCACCAATTGGCAACATATTTGACAGCGTGGATGCTAATACCTATAATATGACAATAATTAGTAATTTAATAAATGTTGAATTTGTATGAGTTTTTAATAACATTAATAACTAAATTAACTGTTTCATTTAATACAATTATAAATTTATTAAAAATAACTTGGTAGAATAATTTAAATTACTTCAAGTATTTTAGGTGGGATATCTGGATAGTATTTCAATAAATTTGGTACATAATCACAAAGAAGCATGACATTGTCACAAGCCACCTGGGAGATCTTTTCATTTTTAAACTGAAAATATGCAATTTTGTGTTAAATAAAATTAAATATACACTATTTATTTAATAAATAATACAAAATTTACTTGTAAGGCAAGTAACAATGTTATGATTGCTTCTTTAATGCAAGGATGTTTAGTAGTATTACTAAGTTCTTGACATACAAATATGCCCAAATTAGATAAAGCAATACATCTTGCTAATCCAGATGGTTCTCTTTTCGCTACTTTTAACATAATTGTTATAACGGTATCCTATAAAAAAATTAATTAGAAATATAGTCTTGGTCAATTAGATATCATATATTATTTAACTAACTTTGATATCAGGACAATATGTTATACTAAATTGGTGACAATCAGGTTTAAGATATGGTACTTTAGTTAGATTTGATGGAAAACTTAAAAGTGAACCTAATATGGACACTGCTTCTGCCCGTGGAGCCTGCAAATGCATTAATTAAGAAAACGATTCTCATTCTCTCAGTTATTTTTGTCAAATAAATATAATTATAATATTACCATAACTACATTTGTTCCACTTAAAACTTCATTGCAAGCATGCACAAAATCCAAAGTCAGTAGTGTAAAACCAGGGAGTTGATGAGAAAAAAATTCAGAACCCGTATTTTTTAATATAGTATTAACAACTTCCTATAAAATAAAATTAATATGTTATATATATTTATATAATTAATATAATATTAATTAAAATGAATTCATTAATTTTCTTAAATTGATAGGAATATAAAATGTTAATTATCATTATGTACTTGATCGCTGGATGTTAATCCATAATGTAAAACTTTGAAAAATTGTGTTACATATTTTTGTCCTTGTGGCATATCCCTATTATTCAAGGTGATGTGACATAATAATTTATATGCATGCAGTTTACCGTTTCTGTAAGTTTTTGGTAAATTCAGGGCCTATAAATAACAATAATATTAATACTTTAAAATAAATAAAATCACAATATATTGTAATTATTTTAAGTATCAAATATCATATACAATTAAATTTAATAAAATCAGTATGTAATAATAACAATGTAATGTATTTTATAGAAATACAAATTTTAACCAATCAAGAATCTTATAATATTAATAAATTAAACATGCCTGAAAACACCACGGAGCAATAACTGATATGGGAGGTACTAAATCAAGAGACGCAAAAGTCTCTTCTTCTACCATACCTTGATTTTGATAAATCTGTAAAAAAAATTATTTTTCATTCATATATTTATCACTACAAAACCCGAAATTAATTGTTAATAGTTTTTTTTTTAATAATTTACTTTAGTCATAGTAGTATTGAGGTCTAGTAAGTATTGGAATACTTGTTCATGTAATACAGGGTTTTCCAGTGTATTTACATCTCCAAGAGCGCTGAGCATTCGACGCCATAATATAGCAGCTACATCAGGTGTCCATCCCTTTATTTCGCCACCAGACATAACCGACTTTTTATTAGTTACTTTTTCTAAAAATAATGTATTTAAAATATTTAATATGCATTTGAAGATTAAATAAATATTATATTATAACCATACCTGATGAAGGATGCTGAGATGACATGATTTCTATTTGCATGTGTGCTTCTTTAAATAAACTGCTTTCCATACCAGTCGAAGGCACAGGGGATGGTGATCTTGAATGAGCATCTCGCATTCGTATTACTAAAAGATCATGATTGCAATAAATTTTTTTATTATTTCATTATTTTATGATTTAAGAGTACTCACTTAAAAGTTGAGTTAAATTTTCTAGGGAATGACATTTTCGTACACTAAATGAACATTTTGAAGACTTTTCATCTTTCCAGCTATATTTACCCTCATATGTTGTTGGTGTCTCTATACAACAACAAAACAATACAAATTAAAAAAAATGTTAACTTACTTAACTTTTAAATGTTTACCCGTGATATTGAAGACTGAATCAGTTTCACTGTATTTTTGAAGTAAACAGTATGTTATTTCTGAATCACTGTTTGACCGCTTTACAAAATCTCGTTTTTTTGTTATATTTCCTGGTTGAGAATCTAAATCATAATAAAACATACACATACACATATATTATACAATTGTTTTAACACATAGATTAGTAACATTAAAACGACAAGCTTAAAAATAAAATGTATATTGTAATGTTAAGCGCAAGAATTAAAATATAATTTATGTTTATTAGAATGAAAATGATTAATTTTTCTTTTGAAAACTATTTATGATATGTATATATATATATATGCCTAATTTAAAATAATAGTAAAATAATATTTATAGTGTTATAGAAATTAAAATATTATTTTTCGGGTTCTTTGAATTTTACCTGCACAATTAAAATCATGTGCAGAGGACATACATTATATTACGTGACATTACATTCAGTGAGTTTGAATTTTAAGTTATTCAAAAATTTTGACTATCTCTCATATACAAATTTCAATCAATTACATTCAAAATTTTATGTTAAAGCTTATCCCATGAGAACAAATGTAATTTTTTAGCAAAATATCACCTGTCACAGAACCTCGTTGTTGATTTTGTTGAGATAAATTACACATATTATATGCAGAATTTAGCGTAGTACTACCACGTTTTCTTCTTGATTTCTTGTCAGAAATACGATCTAATGGCAAATCTGCTAAATCCAGACCATAAACGTGTCTGGCTAATACACGCGTTAGAGTTTCTAAAGTTTTCTAAAAATAAAAATAAAATAATTATTCAAAATTATTCATGTAATCAATTTTATAATAAATCTTAAGCTTACGAGTAGGGATCCACATAATACTGAATATTAAATTTAAAATAATTTATAAGTATAAATATTTCATATTGTTTTTAAATATAAATGATTCATAAGCTACATTGTTACAAGTGTAATAAACTATACTCTGTATTAATATGTAGGTACATCATTTTACTAACAACTATATAACAAAAGTGAGTACGATAAAAAAAAAATAATCTTTAATTGATATTTTAGGTCATTATTTATGCTATAATATATAGATGCTCACACAACCAATTGTTATAATATAATTGATTAAATAAAAAAAAGAACATTAAATAAGTATACCATTGCGTCATAAGTGTTATAGTAAAGTGACACTATTAAAGGTCAGTCATATTATAATGTATATTAGTTTTGTTTAATACAATAACTTTATCAAGTGTTTTTAACTGAATTTAAAATACAACTTGTAAGAAAATTAATCAAAATCTAATAATTATAAAAATAATTATAAATAATATCATTTATAAAAAAAGATATATTTGCAATTTCATAGTGAGAGAGTAAAAACTAATTACAACTAAATAAATTTAAAAAATAAACAGTGAATGTTAAATTAAAAAAATTATAATTAAATTGATTTCATAATCATAATCATTGCTTAAAATGCATTTTTTCTAAATACAAATAGTTAATCAAGAATTATGTTGAAAAGTCATGTCTACTAGTTTTTACTATTAATGGTTACATAGTGTTAACTATTTATTAATGCCCTATAATAACCTCATTTAAATTTAGATTAATTAATTTGTGTCTCATAATAGATATAATTATTTATTTATCCAATTTTCTTTACAAATTTTACTATGAATAAAAATAAAATTAATAATATACTTTGATGACTAACTTAATTTGCTACACCAATGAAAATTAATTCAAGATTATTTTACAAACAAAAAAAAATTAATATGAACCCTGATACACCGATTCACTGTTTTTGTTGATTATATTGAAAATGATTAAAAGAAAAAAATTAATTAGTTTTGAAAATTATCATGATTATTCTGTATAAATATAAAATTGATTTTAAATCATTATGGAGATAATACTTTTTTTTTTTAAATCATAATGAACAACTATGAAATAATTATAAGTAATTATGTTGTTCTTAACCATAAACTGTTATTAAAATATTTTTAATTATTTAATTATAATTTATGTACTTGTTTGTAGAAGTAAAGTTCTAACTTAGTTACAAGTAAACACAGAGAACTAATATAATTAAAAATAAATACAGTTGAGTGATCAATTCACGAAAAAAAAAAATCGGAATTTTATACCATGGTAAATGTGCATTCAATATTTAATCATCAGTGAATGAACAATTATTCTATTCCTAAATAATTCTACTTATCAGTAAAACAATGATATATTAGTTCATTACATTATAATACAATACGTAGTTAATACTAAAAATATTATGAATGGTGTCAATATGCATAGAAACAATAATTAAAATTAAATTAAACACTATTCAAAACATGTTATTCATTCAGTTTAAATCATGAAAATATAGCTTTTACAATGAGAAATTTGTCAGAGTTGGTTAGATATAATATTTTCTCTAAAATGCAATTACGCCAGGCACGTACACAGGAGGTGTTTTGAGTGTTCAAACACCTCCGAAATGTTTGGTTTTTTGTTTAGTTATTTTCTTATTAAATGTTGATGTTAATTGCTTTATCTATTATAAAAATGAAGTCAAAAATGTATAAAAATTCATCATTTGAGAACGGCTGGGCCGATTTGACTCAAATTTTTTTTTAATTGTTCGTAATTGTTAGAAGGTTTTTACGAAAAAAAAGTTGGAAAAACCCTTTTTTTTAAATTGTTTTTTAATTTTTTTTTTTTTAAATTCTTTTGATAATTGATTTTTTGAGTTCTGGAATGTTTTTTCGAATTGAAAAAGCTACAGCAAGCTTTAGCTTATAAAATTGTCCATATGACATAATTCATCGTTAAAATGGAACCCCCGGCCAACACCAAAAAAATGGATCAACATGGAGAGTGAGTCACAGTGTTTGTTATCATACTCTTTCAAAACGGTTTAATCAATTTTAATGAAATTTTGTATATACATTTGATAGATCTGTGAATAGGTTTTTATCTATTTTTTACACTTCTAAGTGCTATTGTTTAATAAATCGTAGTTTAATTTAATAATTTTTGACCGGGTCGATAACTGCGCAATTGAAAATGAATTATTAAATTATACTATTAAAAAACTATTAAAAATCTATTAAAAACTATTTAAAAACTATAAATTTTATTTTTTGTATTAAATGACGGGTATTACATAAGTATTAAATAACAAGATCCCGCAACAAGTACCAAAACAATCAAGAATATTACTTCGAAGGATTATTATACATATCGGTTGATGATTAGATGCGATTAGGACTACGTTATTCTACGATGTCGTGACCTTGGTCGACAGTTTATGGTCGATATCAGTAGCGTAGTTACGGAGAGGGTGTTAGGGGTTTCCAACACCCCCCCACGGATTTTTTTGATGATATTTGATTATTATTTATTAATATTTACATATTATAGTAAAATATTTTGATTAGGTATTAAGTATATATATTGATTTAGGTTAGTATTAAAAATTGAGTAACAAAATAATTTTCATAAAATACGGGACATAATAATAATACCATTTTAAATGTAATATTATTACATATGACCTCGTTTTAAGATATACTAAGAACATTTAAAAACTTACTTTTAAACACTCCCCCCAGAAAAAAAATTGTATCTACGCCACTGGTCGATATGTATGTAAAGACAGAGAGCAAACGATTACAATACTTGCGATTTAATCAAAAAAAGCTGCGTGCGGAAGATACTCAAATCAATTGTTAGATATCGGTGATGAGAAAGTTACTACAGATGAAACGGGATGCATACAATTACCGACCGATTTCTGCACAATCATTGATTCGCAAGATGCTCACATTGACCAGACATTTCTCGATAAAATAAAATAAATGTTGTAATATTTAATTTATCGGAAAATTTTACTAGTCCACTAACGAGTACCATATTATAGATAAGAGACAAATTTCTTATTTTGTAATTAGTCTTTACTAATTTTAAGGTCCCTCCCAATGACGTGGCTAATTTTTATCGAAAATCACTAAATGATAACGAGAAATATGAACTCATTGTGAAAACATGGGTACCTAATGTTACCTATAAATTTCCTACTTAAATAAAAAAATTAATGAAATTTAAAAGTTTAACATTCTTGGTTGCGATTTTATCCTTGGTTGACGTACTCAGCAAAAGAGGACGAAGTTTACTGTAGAATCTGTGTCTCATTTTCCCAAAAAAGTGCGGGCAAAGGAAATCACGAAAATCTAAAAGCTTTTGTATAGCCTTTCTTTTGCAGTTGGAAAAAAGCCCTTAAAAAATTTAAAAATCATCAAAATAAATTATACAGTAAGAACGTTATAGTAGATGCAGAACAGTTTCGTCTAATTTTTGAAAACAAAAAAAAAACGATGTGATCAGTGAAATTGACCAAGGTAGAAAACGACAGCAGTTGGAGAATAGAAGAAAATTGACTCCTAATATTCGAGCAATTTTGCTTTGCGGCAGACAAGGACTGGCATTACGAGGTAACCATAATTATGGTCCACTATCAATGAAAGTTTCCAAAGAAAATTATGGACATTTTAGAGCTTTTCTTCGATATGCCATAGAATGTGGTGACATAGAATTACATCAACACTTACAAAATGCTTCCGTAAACGCTTCGTATTTAAGCCCTAGAATACAAAACGAAATAATTGATACAGCAGGGAGAATATTTACAAACAAAATCATGGAATGCATCAATAAGGCTAAATGTTTTGCATCGATTGCCGATGAAACCAAAGATGTAAGTCATTACAGAACCATTTTAAACTAATTAATGAAAAAACAACTGACCCAAAATTATTTGAGTCATGATATCCAAAATGAATAAATTAAACTTAAGTTTATATTAGTAATTGAAGAGATTATTAGTAAAAAAAAACTGGTGAAATATTATGCTTTCATGCTCGACTGCACTAGAAACATAAGTCGCGTTGAACAGATGTCCATTATTTTAAGATTTTGTAATACGTCAACCGGTGATGTAAAAGAACATTTTATTGGATTTATTGCTGTTGATTGAATAACAGGGGAACATTTAACAAACATTATTCTACATAAGCTATAAAATAATGGTTTAGATATTCAAAACTGTCGTGGACAAGGATTTGATAATGGCGCAAATATAGTTGGAATAAACAAGGGTGTTAAAACACGAATATTGAATATTAATCCAAAAGCATTCTTTGCACCTTGTGGTTGTCACATCTGGAATTTGATTTTAGTAGATGCTGCTAAGTCTTCCATTACAGCTAAAGCATTTTTTGGTTTTATTCAAAAAATGTATTTGCTATTCTCAAAATCTAGTAAACGATGGGATCTTATAAAAGATAAATTAAAGCTAATATTAAAGTCTTTATCTGAAACAAGATGGGAAAGCAGAATTGCTGCAGTCAAAGCAATATGTTTCCAACTTTACGGTATTATTGATTGTATAAATATACTTAAAATGCAAATTATTAACAAATAGTAGATGCAGAAACTCTATGTGATTGTGAAGTCATTTTAAAAAAAATGTTAACATTTGAATTTATTGTTGCAATACATGTGTGGTATGAAATTTTACTACGTGTAAATAATATAAGTAAAATCTAGCTATCACTTTAAGTTAATTTAAAAATGGCTGTTGATTCTTTAAATAATTTTTGCAATTAGATTCAAGAATATCGTGATATAGGATTCAATAAAAGTATTATAGAATCTTACCAGTTCATAGAAAAAAGTAGTTATGAAGTAGAATTAAATTTTAAAAACAAGAGAATAGCAAGGGAGAAAAAAATGTTTAGTTATGAACACACTGATGAACTTATAGAGTATGGTGAAGAAAAGTTTAGAGTTTACTTTTTTAACAGTATGATTGATGGAATTCTTCATGACATTAAATGGAGATTTAAATCATTGAATGAATACTTTTGATTTTGGTTTTATTTATGACATGAATATTTTAAGATCCATCCCCAAAGAAGACCTTTATAAGCATTGTTGTGATTTAGGTACAGTACTTCAAGACAGCAAAATGAGCGACATTCAATCATTTGAATTACACGAAGAATTACAACTCGTAATTTCAAGTCTACCAGACTTTATTAAGGATGAAAAACTGCTCATCAAATACATAATAGAAAAATAATTTACAAGAAACATATCCAAATATTTATATAACAGTCAGAATTATTCCTATGATGACATAGGAAAGACTCTCAGCATTAGCAGTTTTGTCCATTTAAACGAAAATTGCGAATAATTTAAATTACGAAGATATACTTAAAATATTTAGTGAAGCATAAAGCCGAAAAGACCATTTCTCGTAAATAAAAAAAAATTGAAACTTCTTATAGTATTATTATTTAAAAAAAATATGTATTTAATTTTATAATTATGTGTAAATAAAATTATAATAAAACTACATTTGCAAATAAAAAGTTAATAATTAGAGTTTATTGTTTTTAAAAATTCTAAATCTTAATATTTATTAAATAACTATTGTTACTTAAATGTTTACGAAAAAAATTTAAAAATGGGCCTCTTTAAGTTTACGTCACCCACATATATATTTTACCTCGCACCGCCAATGCGTCCCTGAATTATGAATTTAAATATTTTATCAATAACAAAATCATTATATTGTTATAGTTAATTGCTACAAATTATTTTAGATTTTTAAAAATAAAATTGCGAAAAGTTTATAAAAATACAGTAAATACTCGTAAAATTTCAAAAAATTAAGGTAATAACCCAGAATGTTGAATAAACTGTTATTTATATATTATCAATTAAATAATTATAAAATCTCGATTAAAATACCAGTGACATAAATTAAGATCAGAGGCGTATTATGGTGAGGGGGGCTGTGGGGGCTTCAACCCCTCCCCCTTCGAAATCCAGGAATTGTTTATTAAGTCTGCTTATTATGTCCTATCAGATGTAAATCGTAAAAGTTCAATATAATATTAAAAAGAATTATTAGTAACAACGAACAAGTTATTCATGTAAAGTGCCTGACGATTTTGATCGTAACGATTATACCATTGAGTTCGGTACATTGTGCTTAATTTTAACGTACGGTACCGCTGCATTATTGTAATTTTGATTTCTTTTGCCTAGAATTGATTTACTGATATACACCCGTTGTCGTATCTCAATCACCATACAATATTTATACGATACCGTATGAGCTAAAATATTTCCGAGAAGTAACGGCGACGACCGATAACACTATCACGGTGATCGGTTTTCTTCGTATAGTTGTTACTTGTTTTCACTATTACAGGTAAATGTTGTAAACTAATTTTCCAACTTTTGTTTTTAATAGGCTGAATCGGGGAATTTCAGTTGGAGAAAATATCACAGCTTCCCCCCCAAAAAAAAAAAAAAATCTAAATACAGCCCTGATTAAGATTAACCTTAAATGTAATAACTTTAGACTAATAAGTAAGTTGTAAGACTATAAATTAAATAAGTAAGACTAATAATTGTAATACCAACATGTGCAGTTATATAGCTATAAAATACATTTTTAAAACACCCAAGAAAAGCTCAAAATAAGTTGAAATCTTTTGAAAATTATTCCATATATAGCCTACGGCAATATAAACTTCTAGTGTCAAGTAAGTAGTAAGTAAGTAGTTTCAAGTCTCTACTATTGTTTTCTGTGTCATCATTTTTATGTAAATTTTGCCGTATTTTAATAACTTTTTGTAATTATTTAGTAATTAAAAAGAAAACTATTGAGAAATTCGTAAGATAATCCCTTCAAAAGTATAATTGTAATCATTCTGATCGAATTCGCGTACACAGAATTTATCAAAATATCAAAAAAAAAAAAAAAAAAAACAATTATACAATTATACCAATAGATTTTACGTTTCACTCAGAATCTAAAACGTTACGCAGGAGAAAATTAAATAGTTCTGTAATCTTAAATAGATAAAATATTTATACACAATAAACTTAGAATTTTTTTTAACCATAATTAACATAATTTTAGTACCTAAATGATATGATACAAAACCACAAAGTTGTTTAACTTTTGAAATTATTTTCAGGTTAAATATTTCATTATTGTATATTTTTTCGTTTACTTGATAGAGAAAATTGCATTAGATAAAATAATTTCTTTCTATTCTTTAATCAATTTATTTAAATATAAAATACATTACGAGTATATTACGTATCAATGAATAAAATAAAAAAAACACTTACCGACCACTCCCTAATAAGTTCTTCCCATTGAGTGAGTGAACATAGTACTGTTAAAAATTGATCCCAAAGTTTTTCAGAAATTGGTACATTTAAATTAGCTTTTATCCAAGTCACAATCAAAGTCTAAATTAAACAAAAAAATATTATTTCATTATCATATAATTTAATATTTGGCACAAGCATGCCAATTTTTGATAAATTACCCCAAAATATATAGGAGATATATAATAAGTTATTAAATGGAAAGTCAGTCGCCATTACATGATCTAGAGTGAATATTTAAGTGAAGTTTTTTTATGTAGTATTTTAGTAATGGTTTATTCCTTATGATGACTTATATCAAATTGTATAGTAATGTTGGTAAGTACCGACGCATTATGATCGTAATATTAATTTCCTTGAAAATTGATAAAAAAAAATGGAAAGACTGATCGCCACGCTTCACACCAATACATATTTATTTTTTGTGTGGCTACCAAAATAATATTGTGTATTCTATAATTTTTCAAAAACTTCGTGAGGCCATAATTAATAACATGCATAAGATATTCCAAATTATACGTTAAAATCGTTTTAAATATAGCAGTTTAATGTAGATACTTTGAAAATATTTGAAAATAAATACAAACACATTGTAATTGGAATTACATTAAAAATTCAATCAATTTCAATTTTTTTTTCATATTATCGATAAATACGTAATATAATAAAATAGCTATTTTGAAATTATTAAAAATATGAATAAAAACTTATGCATACTCTTATTTATTAAAAATTGATCAATTTAAACAATTTTTACTCTAAAATATTCATTATTAAATTATTATATTGAAATTATAGTAAAAAAAAAACTGGTTTTGAAAATTATTGTAAAAAATAGACCAAATATTACAGTTAAAAAACTCCATTCGTATGTATGTTCACTATAGCTCATGATTTATAGTGACTGACTATCTAATTAATTAATATGTTGTATATATAGGTACTAATATAAAATATAAATATATTATACAATACACATGCATGTAAATATATAGCACTTGGATTTATGTAGATATATGGTGCATGGTCAGTGGCGCATTTGAGGGGGGGGCGAAAGGGGCAAATGCCCCGGGCGACAAATTTTTGGGAGCGGCAAAATATTCTAACTTTTATTATTGACGTGTTTATGATTTTTTTAATTTTCACACCTTTTTCGGTATTGTTTAGTATTTTAAAAAAATATTGTTGAGCATTTAATATGAAATTAAAAAAATTATACTATACCTAGTCACCTAGGTAATAGTGAAATAGCAAAATAGGTATATTACATTTATTATTCAATATTATATTTTCGTTCAATGTTTATAATAAAGATTCGGGTACACAGAACGTGGGATTCACTTTAGGGCACATTTAAGAAGTTTACAAAAGGAGTAAAATTGTACCTAAAAGTGTTCAATGTATGTTAGTATTTATAAAAGAGAATAGTTTAGTTGAAGTATATCCTTATATTAACATTGCTATAAGGATGCTACTATATATGTACACCTTCAAGTAATTGTTCAACGGAAAAATCATTTTTTATATTAAAAAGTGTCAAAACTTATTTAAGATCAACAACGAGAGAAAATCATCTTAATTAATTAACAACCCTCAACATTGAAGCTTATTTAACGAAAACTATTAATTTTAATGATATTATTGAACATTTTTCTTCTCAAAAGTCAAGAAAAAAATTATAAGCTCTCGATTATTTTATTATATATAATTAATAATAAATATAATATATTTAATCTTATAAAAAATCATGTATTGTTAATCATTGTGCATATAATAAATATAAATTCCGTTTTCTAAATTTAATATTTATATATATTTTTAAGAAAGGAATATTTACTGAAAAAAAAAATTAGGTTAACGTTAGGATATGTATTACTATAAAATTATCTAATACAATATCGCAAAACAACTGATTTATAATTTGTTTCATAAAATTAATTTTTTTATTGCTTAACTTTGAATTTATTTATATATATATATATTTTTTTTTTTTTGGCAAGGGAGAAGGGCGGAAAAATTATTTTGCCCTGGGGCGCGTATGTATTAAATGCGCCACTGTGCATGATCTCAGCATTTAATTTGCTTTACATGTCAATTAAATTTAAAGTTTTTGTAGAAATTTCAACTTATAAGTGTGAAAATAATTGGAATTAATTGGTCATGGTTACAAAATACCATGCTTGGTAGGTATCTTTATTAAGATAACATCATTGCGATTAATTAGATATTAAATAAAAATATGGACTGCATACGAACTGAGTCCCAATACAACCTTTTATGACCAACTGAGTCCCAGATTGTTTTAAGATATATGCTAATTGAGTCCATATTTTAATACTAAGTGAGTCACTTGTGTACTTGTGTATAATTAAATTAATATAGGTGATGATAAAATTACATTTTTTATATTGATAAAAATGTATGTGATAAACATGCATATATTCAAATTGTATTATTTTGTTTGATTGTAACATCTGCATTTGTTCTTTGATATCCTTTTCTTTTTTTATATATAATTTCTTGTATTAATAATATGAAGACTTCTAATTTTGATATATATTTTGCATGTTACATTTAATGTTAGACTAGAAATTATAATGGAAATGTTATTGACGCGCGGTGTGGCATAAGTGTGATAATAACATATTTTTTAATGCTGCGCGGCATAACTTTCGCTGTGTTTAGTTGGGCCGCGTTGATTTTATAGTTTACTCAAATGATCCTCGACCCCAATTAGTATATTTTTTCCCATTCAGGACTCAATTAATATACATTAAAAATATCTTAGTAATATGGAGAGCAACAATGGTTAAGCTAAATATCAACCTGCACCTCTCCCCCTCCTCTCCAACCAGTGATTACAACACTGCATACATGTCAAGTGTATACATTTAAAAGCATTTACTCATAGCTAAAACAAAGTTAGACACATAAAGTGACCAAGAGCATGCTCGAACATAAATACCAATATGTTTACAAAGTATACTTGATCATTCAGCATTAATGTTTATAAACATATAAAAACATTAAAAACCATTTAAATATTGAATGCCATGCTACATTTGCAGATAAATATGTTAGAAATATGGTTTGATATAATTGTTTTAATAAATTGAGTTAGTTTAAGTCGACAATTAGTTTATGCTATTATGACCAGGCTCTCGAGGTAACGAGAAAAAATTAAATATTATTATAAATTAATTAATAATAAACATAAAAGTTGTTTATTATTTATACTAAACAAATACTTTCATGCTGGTAAAATTTTTTTGACAAAACATCTTAAAAGAAAATAAAGATGGAAGGAAATACCTGAAACGTTCGCCTGTTTTGATATTCCATCAGAAATGACTACCAAAGACCAAGTACAATATTTTTATTCCTAAAGACATTTTTAAATCGGTATGGTCAAAAAATGAAGCATCTTGCCTATCTTAACTTCAAATATTTAAATAACAAAGAAAATATTTGCGGATAAAATAATTAAATTTAGTACTTAAAATTTAATTCCTTAAAACATTCAATTTTACTGCCAACTATTTAACTGTTTAAATTATTCTATAAGTATTTTAAAATGTATATCATCATTACCTGGAAAATTGCAGGAGCTAATTTGCCAGATAGTGTGTCTTCTTTTCGCCTGGGAGGTTTTTTATTCAAAACTAAAGTAGTTATTCTTAATAGAACATTTAATAACTGTTCCCTGTATAAATAAAATGTAAAAATCGTATTATTATTATATACTATATTGTATTATAAAAATTAATTTTAAAATAATAATTTGAATTATATTAAATAAAAATTATTTTATTTAATGAAAATAAAAATGTATTCCTTTCATACTCTATTTTATGATACTGATAAATTATAATAACATTAATTGAAGAGGAAGTAAAAATTTGATTTCTTAATATTCATTAATATATTATACCAGTTTCACTAAGCTTCAAAGTTATCCCTGACTCGACCGTAGAATGCGGTGTCAAGTTGTGTTATTGCATGGACTATAATTTGGTACATGATATATTGATTATAATTATACTTTAATGATTTTGAATGATATTATTTTTCATATTTTTTAAGGAACTTTTAAAAATTAACAATGAACTGTCAAACATTTTATTATTTTTTTTCTAAATTGTATAAGTCATAAGTTAATTTAAAAAAAAAAAGTTATACATTTTATAGAGACATAACAATTTAAGAATTTATTTAAAATAATTTTTTTAATTTTTTTTAAATATCTATATACTCTATTGTCGATTTCTAACCCATATATATATTATCAGCGTTAATAAAAATTTTAAGCCAGTTTTTTTTTATTGATACATAAAGAACATTACCAACAATGGAGTATTATAGAATATATTTTTAAATAAAGTACTGTTTTTGTATCCAACAAAAAATAGTATTTAATCTCAAATTACTCGAAGGATCTACATAAATATATCGAAAACTAATACTTTGATCCTCTCCAGAGTATCAAAAGCAAAAGTTGGTAGTATTGTAATATAAATTTTTTATAATTTGTTACTGCAATTCTCAGATTAAAGGAAAATAATTTTTTTTATCTATTAACCACATATAGTTAAAAACGAATGTAAACCCCTACTTTACATATTCATTATGAAAATAATATTGTTAAATTAAACACTAATCAGAAATATATCCAATTACTCATAACTTACATCACTTATTTACTCAAACTCAAATATTTATGACAAACTGTTATTTTAGACTTTGTCTAAAAAATATATAATGTACAATTATATCAACTGTTATTTTAAACTTGATATAATTTTGACTTTCAAAAAATGATTTTGAATTAGAGTTTAGAATGTTATACAAGTGCTACTTTAAATGACATTTTTTTTTTTCATTAATGACCATTATGATCATATCCTGGGACACAATTTATACATTAGATTGTTCATATTTATAAGTTAGGAATATGTGGAAATAAGGGAAAACATAGTATCACCATGTAAATGTGGTTTAAGTGGAATCGACAGTGTGCTGACTTCAGTTTTTGTGTGGAACGATTAAAAATAACCTTCACGGAGTTACACCAAAGTACTTATATCAGCAGTACAATCAAAAACACGTACAATTGAGTTTGTATTGTGTATATATTTTCACAAAATAGTTCTGACAGATATATACCTAATATGTTATAATAGTAATGATTTAATAAAAATTGTTGATGTTTTAAGATAACTTCAATGGCTGAATAACAGATCTTTTATATTATTTGAAAGTTGAAAAATATTATAATATTATTATTTTGTTATAGACGCTATTTACTCTTTACTATTTTTAAAAACGTTTGAATAAGAATTATTTTTACATTTGTCATAAACGAATCAATATATAATAAATATTAGGTAAGTATTATATATAATATTATACACTTTATTATGTGTTACATTTTATTATTGCAGTTTAAAGCATTATAAAATTATACTTAAAAGATACTCATCATTATTTAAGTAACATATTGCATATAATTTTAATATTTTTTAAAAAACATAATACCTATCAAAAGAATTTATAAAGATGATTTAAAGGTCATAATGAGAAACCTCATCAAACATTACTAATGTATTAGGTACTTTATGTTACAGACAAAGTTTAAATAAATAAATAGTTATAATTTTATTTTATAATGAAACAATTTAGATGTATAACTTACCAAGTTCTTAAAGACATGTATGTATGCATGACCATATATCTATAAATATTTAATACTCGCTTGCAGGTATCAACTTGTTCTTCCAAAAGCATTGGATATTCAGTACCACTTTGGGCCACAAATACATGTAGAGCATTAGTCATAAATAACTGAATGACATTCTGGAACATAACATTGAAAAAAAAATGTGGAAAAATGTTGATTTTAATATAATAATAATAATAATAAAATACCTGAAATCCAGCTCTTATATCACCATACTTAGGCTCATATATAATAGGTGGAGTTTCTTCTGCATTTTGCTAAACCAAATCCAAAAATTTTGAAAATATTATATTTTAAGCTTAAATTATAAATAAAAAAAAAAAAAAAAACACTTACATCCAAATTAGATGTTTGTGAATTTATTCCTTCAGGATCTAACATGAAAGGAGGTTGTTGAGACACCTACAAAGACAAAACATTGGTTAAATATTATCAATTTGATCAATGTTTCATAATATATATAAATAAATACACTAAGTTGAATCCAATCTTTGTAAACTGCAATAGTTCTTCTTATTGCCATAGCCCAATTGAAATTCAATAAAAATGCTTGCCGGAAAATTTCGTGTATTAAATTAACATTTTCTCTTGACTTATATAAAGTATCTCTGACAATTTCGAAAGCTATTAATTGAGCTTTATCTCTATAATAAACAATTAATCATTTTTATACTATAAAATGATTAAAACATTAATATTATAAAAATAATTAAAATTAGTTTTTTAATAATTTATATTTATTTATTAAACAAATTTAAGTATAAATTAAACTATTATTTAAAACTAATTTACCTAATGTCATAAAAATTCATAAGAAATAATATTTAAGAAAAATAATATACCCAATAAACTTTGATATCAGAGGAATATTTGGGTAGTGTTTTTGTTTTATATCTTGAGTGTATCCAGCAAGCCATTTAATTACAACAACTCGACAACTACTGTTTGTGTCATTTCTATTTTGATTAGAACAATCTGGTAGCTCTAGATACAAAGAAAATTAATATTTATATAGTTCATTAAAGATAAAATAATTAAAAAATGGTAATAATGGTATACATTAACCTGTTGTTTGTTTATAAACATTTGTAGCTGTTGAATAATCCGGAAAAATTACAGGTAAATAATATTGTTTAAATTTTTCAAACAAATAATTAAAACATCGTCTTTGGCAATTTTTCAGATCTTTCCACATTATTCGTGGAACCTGTAATTTTCAATTTATTTAAAACTGAAAATAAATTTGATATTGATTTCGATAAATTTCAAAAACTGAGTTCAAAAACTAATCAAACAATATTGTTTTACTACTCCTATAAACATAATATAAAATAATTATAAAAACGATCAAATTTCAAATAATAGAAAAAAATCAATACAATTATAAATATATTACCAAATTCATATTGAAATTTATAAAATATATTTACATTTTAAAATTTTAAAGTAAAATAATAATTAATAAGTTGATAAAGTTTTAGCTGCTATATTTTTATTAAATATAGGATTTAAAATATTGTGACGTTAATAATTGAAATAACAATAAAGTTGATTAACTTTATTATGACTGATTTAATAAGTCATGGTTCACTTATAAGTAATCTCAAAATTATATGAATATAAAAATATATTGTAGAATAATAAAAAAAAAATTAATTTTAAGAGATGTTATTAAAAATTATTGAGTTTATTTAAATAAAATTTTATAGATTATCAACACAGATATAAAACAGGGCTCGGAAGTTCAAGCAAATAAATATATTTTTTAGAAAGTCTTAAACTTTTAAAGTAAGACACAAATTTGTTTCACAACAGTAACGGCTCGTAGTAAATCTTTTGGGGAGACTTAAATTATTTAACATAAACTCCGTTCAAGCAACGAACAAGAAAAACCCTTTATTGGAAAATTAATTATACTTAATACTTAATTTAATGTTTAGTTAATGTTTTAACTTAATTTAACTATAAATTTTTTTATAAACTAATTCAATTTTGTAATTTTTTTTTATCTGTGAATTCGCAATTGACGGGGTACAGCGATTAACAACGGATCGATGGCACGGAAATTATTGTCATGAACCCAGTTTCAATAGTATCTATAATACGCGGATTATTCTCCCCAATCCCCTCCTTCCAACAAGCCAAGTTATTACATGTTACGATTGAACCTGTCAGAAGTCAGATTCACTAAAACAATGACCGTTTTCGAAATTACTAAAATAGTGTTTCCATTGAAATAACTATAGGTTTCAAGGTGCGTTTACATTAGAGCTCGCATACGAACGAATGTTGCACGAACACAACCGCATGAATAATGTAAACAGTCGAAGACGTTCGTTCGCGTGAGGTCGTGATCGAATGAAGAGCGGTAAGATCAAACAAACCATCTATTCAATTTGAACGGCATTCGGCCGTATGCGTTGTTTGCATCGTATTTTATGTTAAATATTTTATTTTGACTCAATTGTGGAGTGGACGGACGATGAATGTTCACATCTTATAAATTTATATAAATCAAGACCAATTCTATGGGATCCTGAACATCCCCATTATAAAATGGGCACGAAAAAAATGTACTTCTGGTTGGAAGTAGCCAATGAATTAAAACGAGACTTGAACGACACGAAGAAAAAAATGGAGAGTCTACTAGGATCTTGTAGAAATTTTTGAATTTTTAAATTAAACATACGTGATTTTGGCAACCCGACTTCACTCGACAACAGTTTGATCGGTACTAAGTATTCTAGATGTATTTGGAGCCGTGACGTAGCCAGTAGTCTGTAGTCCCCCCGAAATATTAGAAATATTAAGAAAATTTAAAAATTATTTTAATGATCCATAAAAGTCATTACAAGGTTAGGTTAGGTTAGGTTACAAAAAATTGATCAGCCCCCCCCAAAAAAAAAAAATCCTGGCTATGCAGCTGATCTGGAGGCGAACCTTGAGCGCACGAACGAACGCACTAATGTAAACGATATAGCGAATCTTTGTGCGGTAGCGTTCGTGAGTCATTCGTTCGTATGCGGGCTCTAATGTAAACGCACCTTTATATTTTGTGGCCTTATATTTATAATAATAAATATAGAAAATGCTATATTTTTAATAACATTTTTAATAACATATTTTTAATAAAAATAAAAATATTTCTATACATTTTTAAATAGTTATTATTTACAAGTAGCTGTTGTTTTTTTTTAAGGGGAGACGCAGTCTCAACACTCCCCTGATGAGTCGCCCTTGTTTCACACTTCTCCGATATTGTATACGACATTTTATTTTACTTATTTTTACATATTCACGATTTTCAGGGCTATTTTGCTAATTTAGAATTATAAGTGCTATTTAAAGGCATATTCTTGTATAAGAAAATAAACATTTTATAAAAAAAAAAATTATTTTGGACTAAACGCATACGAACACGAATATGCTAATGAAAACAAAAATTTACTTCGATTTTCAAAAGGTACATAATAATCGGTTGTTATCGTTGATCACACCGTTTGTTTCCAATTGATTTTTAAAATCGTTTCGGATGTACTGCAATTACTGTCTTTCATGTCATATTTACGTAGGAGTTGTCTTTGAATCAAAGAATAAATTATTATCTTTATATATATTATAATCTTTTTTGTAGTTGAATTTATTAGCACAATGAAATTTTAGTTTTCTGCCGTCCTTTAGATGTGTTACGTATGCAATTGATCCTTAATCAGTGGGTTACATATATACTGTATATACTGCTATAATCGTTTTTTATATTAATTAAAAAATGCCTAAAGTTAAACAAAATTTATCGAATCGTCTCCAAACTGTTGATAATGAATTTAATTCCGACAAAAAGAAGTGCAATGTATCACAACATGTAAAAAGTAACTAACATATTAAAGACCAAGTCCGATATGATAAATAAAAATAATAAATAGTGTTAATTAAATCGAATACCAGAACAGATATTGAAAAATTAAAAAAATGTACTTAAAACGATTTATGTAACATGTATTGTACTTCAACATGTCGCAGAAGAAGTAAGAAGTCAATTTCACCCAGTAAATAAAATTATTTTAAATGTAAAAAAAATCTTAATAAAAGTCCCAAGTCGTTTACTTATATTTAAAATGGAAGTATTAAACCTAACCTTGCATTTGAAGCCAATCCTCACTCATTGGAGAAGTTAGATAAACACAGCAGTTTATTATTGCAAACATTTCGAGATTATAAATCGTAAAATTTTCATGTTGAATAAAAACGATGTAGTTTATATTAAGATGCTCAAGACTACATCATAAAACCAGGATTAAAAAATAACGTATATTAAGTTAAACTTTGGCAAATTAGCCTAGGCTATTGAAAATTTACCACAACAACATGTATAATTATCGGATTCAATTAAAATAGGTGGTTATATTATGGAATATATTAAAAAATAATTTGAAACACTATGTGATCCAAATGGAAAAACTGTTCAAAATAAATTCAATCAGGTACTGGGAAAAACAGTGGTCCATCGGCATTAATTTATTAAAAATTCTATCTGGTGATGAAACTTTTAGAAATATAGATAATCTTCCTGAACATTTAAGTTTTAATGACTAGACATTTTTTGTGTACGCACCCATGACATCCGCAAATATTGAGTGATCATTCTCGACTTACAAATCTATCAAATAATCTAAGATCATTCAAATTGAAAATGAAAACATAAGAAAACATCTAATTATTCAGTGTGATTCAGAATGTAAATAAAATAAATAAATTTAAAATTTACATTATATTATTTTACAAATTTATATTTATTGGAAATATTTCAGAGCTGGAAAATGTACCTATTTCTCAAATAGCTATCACAATATTTTATAAATATTTGTAAAATTTAAAAAAATTTAAACTAACTAAATAAAAAAAATGTTGTCAATAAAATTTTTATTTGTATATTTTCTAATTTGAAGTGCTATTTATAACATTTATTGAGGTGTTTTTAAGTGTATATTAAAGCGCTTAAAATTATATATAATTAATATTATACATATAATAATATATAAGTGCTATAACTTCTGAGCCCTGGTCATATAACACATAGATTGGAATTAGGGGGTAGAAAAAAATAACTTATGATAACTTATTTTGAAAATAGTAAACTAATTATTGACTTGAGTAAACAAAACTAGAAACAAATGTAAAAGTTCAATATTTAAATTTAACGTAACACTATGCCAATATCCATCTACTGTACAATTACTTCAATATTAATAAATAATAAAATATATTCAGGAGTATTATTGATCTAGAATAGAATAAATATTTTCATCTGCCCTTAATATTTAACTCATTTATTTGCTTCCAGTCATACCTATATTTTATTTCATGGCATTTATTACCATGTATAAACAATATTATATAAAATGCTTAATTAAGGAAATGTCTGCACATATTAAAATGCTTAAATGTCCTTTAACCTATCAGTATACTCGCAAACTTCCAATATGTTGACACAGCACAATGAGCTATTATAATATTGTTGTATGCTTGGTATTGTACTTTAGACACTTTTATTTATACACCCTAAGATATAAGTTATTAATGTACATCATTTTTAACATTGTTTACACCAATGTGGAGTAAAGGTTCGGTATATATACAGGTTATTGTTAGCATATGGGGAGACTAGTACTAGAGTTGTAACGTGTTATACCATTTTGTACATAGTGTCTTTATTTCGTAAATAATAATAAAGTTTAAAAGTTAAATTCTACAAAGTCTATTTTATTGCTTTTGACACTTTTAAAAACACTCTACTTCACGTTTTTCCTTAAAGATAGAGTCTTTCTATATTTCTGCAAGTGCTTAGGCTATCCAGGGCATTACAACATTAATACCTGGTATATAATGAATAAATAACAAATATCTATAATTATTACCTGATTAACCATTAACTCTAGAAGGGTTTCTAAATAATATTTAACTACATCATCTGGTTGTTTTTCGCCCATCTGAGGTGGATATATAAGATTTGTTTCTACAGCAGTAATGGGACCTACAAAATAAAGGAAAAAAATATTATTTTATTATCATAAAAAAAAATTTTATAACTATTTATTTGCCATACTTGAAAAATTATCACGTAAAGTAACTGAATTTGAAGGAACACCCCAAAGCGCAGCCAGCCCTGGATGTTCAGGTATTGGACTGGGAAATCCTGGTACAAGAGTTGCAAACATTGCATGTACTGAGTCAGGTGCATTATATCCCAATATTTGATACCATAAAATAAAAAACCTGTGTTTACATTATGAATAAAATTTGAATTAAAATCTATCTTTAGAAATAATTATTTTAATTACTTTATGCCTTCGCGTCTTAATCGCCATGAATTTTCTGGATGTAATAGTTTGGTGATGATCATACACATGCTGTGACATTGCCACCTTTGTGCTACAATTTCTGGACATAATGTAAGTACTTTTTCTAAAATTATCAGAATAGTGTCTAGTTCATCTCTGTGAATTTTGGTTACTGAAAAAGTTATAAAAATAATGGATTTATAATAGGGTTTAAAAGAGTTGATAAAATATAAAATACAGACTATAATAATAATAATTGGAGAGTCAATTTAAGTAATTTAATTTCAGTGTAAAAACACGTAAATGTTTCAATTCACGATTTTACTAGAAAAAAAAAATCAAAATATACATGTATATTTACCTCTTTGCTTTAGATTGATTTCGACACTAATGAAGCTTTCATAGAAAATTTGGTAAATACTGCTGTAGTTGCTTTCGAACAAGTGTTTCGATTCATTTTCGTCGCTGTTGTCTACAGAAAAAAAAAAACAATCAGAATCATCAAATGTATAAAGGAGAATCGCATGTGCGGTAAGGGAGATTGATTGAAATGCAAAAACGTAATAAAAAAAAATCGCTTGCTGCATGGAGCCCGAACACCGACGTACCTAAAAGGAATTTCAAGTGTTTGAATCTCGTGGCCGTGTCCTTCTTCGGATCCAATATTTTGTGCGCAGACTTCTTCACGTCCGTCTGCGCCTTTTTACTGAACATTTTTCCGCACGTCCAGCGCTACCATTATTCCGATCGATCCGATCGCCGCCGTCGCCGCCACCGCAGTAGGTGACACGGGTCCATCGGTAAGGCGATGACGACGATGGTGATGACCGCCGAGAGGTAACGAAACGATTCGCTCGCAGGACGATGGACAACTGCCGCGGAGTGACGGTGGGACACTCGACCGAGTGAAGGACGCAGATGGCACGATCACGGGGTTGCGGTGGTTAGACGACGACGGTGTTTCACTACGAACTGCAGTAATAATAAATATTAGCGTTGCTGTTTGATAACTATCAGAGAAAATGTTTAGGAGTTTATCACGGGACGTGTTATCAGCGTTATCACCGTGGACGTATACACGGACAGACGGGGCCGATGTTCGCTATGATAACCGGCGGGGCCGCTTGTCCTGGCGACGAGTCGGCAGCTACTCTAGCGCGTTCGTGGCAAAAACACCGCCGAACCGCGCCTCCCGCCGTCGAAGACGGAGCGAACGTTCGAGCGCTTACACATCTGCGGTTATCGCTTTCGCGCGCTCGGTACACCGTTAACGTGGTGACATCACCGGGCGCTATATTCGGCCGTCGCGGTACGTTTCGCTGCGTCGCAACCTGAGCACCGTAAATCGTGACCGAATCATCAGGTGGGGTAAACCGAATCTTATGGTGGCGGGGACGCATAAAACGGTGTACATGGTGCGCAACGCACCACTCCGTATAACACGGCAGGTACGCACCTTGAGGGTTCGGACGATAGGCAATGCCCCTCCCCCCTGTGGCAACACGTAACCTACGTCTACGTAGCCGTCGCCGCCGGTGAACGTTCTACGACGTAAAAACGTCTACGTTACTGATACATCGTCGACCGGCCGAAGGACGAACAACAACAATATACGATCGTTATATTCGCGTGCACGGTCGGCTCCGATGGTTTTCATACGGCGGGTGGGTGGGGGGATTCCGCATGGGTGTATCACTCGAAGAGAAAAAAAAAATTAATTCTCATTCTCGTTTTGAAATTACTTTACCGTACAGTCTAACGCGTTACTTCGAAAATCGGAAATAACCAAACAAACATTAAAATCTATAGTAAAACAGTAGGCGTGCGCAAATTTGTGCTTCAGGGAGTGCCTGCGATACTTTTGGACTCTATCTCAACAAAACGTGTTGATACATTTATTAAACTATAAAAATATGGAGCGTATAAATAATTGAATAAACATAACTTAAATTACCTATTTATTTAATATCGTGTTACATTAGCCCCAATAAATATGTTTTCCTCGGATAGATTCAATTGTTTATGATTTTTACTTTTGTGGACAACTGTAGCTGTTATAGTACCATAATAAGTTTTCGTATTAACAGGCGCCTTACTTAGACTTAAATTTTAAGGATCTATTTACAACATTTCGGGAGTGCCCGAGCACTCTCCGTGCGCACGCCTATGAGTAGGTACCTACAGTGTTGTCGATACTATTCCATAACGTGGCAGCAACCGAAAATTAACTTGTAATGTAATATTCGATAAATCCGACATCGCGCATTGCATCAGGTTTATTATCATTCCGTGAATACAATATTTTAAATGCCGTATATTTTCAGGGAACGTAGACAATTCAATAACAGGATGTAGACAGTAGCGGTTTTTGAGAAACCACAGGAGGGGCGAAAATATTTTGCATGTACTTACAATTTGCATACATATACCATTTATTTTCTCCTATTGCTTGATATATAAGAAGTAATTTTAAGTTTTATAAACTTTATACCGCAATGGCATAACATAAAAATATCAATAAAAAAATTAAAATCAAAATTATTTTTTATTTAAACTTAATTAACAATCAAACTTATAGGAACAAACATTTTTGTAAACAGTAAACAGTTTTGACATAAAATTATCGCCAAAACGATTTTTAATAAACTGTTTGCTCATTTATATTTTTAGTTTTTACACGACTCAAGGGGGGGGGGTCTACTAATCGCCCCCTGTAAAACTACCACTGGATGTAGTGTAGAAACTATAACAATTTACTCGAAAACAATAGAATAAAGTTTTGTGTTTGAAAAATCATGTTTATACATAAATTATAAACCGTAGACCATAGTCCCATAACATGAAATCGGAATCCATAACATGTGAAATGCTTGCAGAGCAGAACATATATAGTAAATCATAGTAATCGAACCTAAATGTACGAGTATTGTACATTGATGACAGAAAATATAGATAAATTATTTATTGTTGCTTAACCGTTGTATACTCGTTTATGCTCTTGGAACATTATGTTGGCCGTGGCCTACATTGCGCTACGTAAGTACATGATACTCGTATAGCTGAACAATAAAATAAGAAATAGATAAGTACTGGTCGTAAAAAATTAATATTGTGATATATCACGTAGGTACTGTACTTGACAAGTTTCAAGTACCTACTAGACCACATTAATCGGCGTTCGTCGCGATTGCTTGATGCATTGGTACTGTGTGAACGTTATTTGCCTTTTCGGGCGTAGCTACCAGTCACACGCGCATGATTTTTTTATTATGTTGTAAAGATCCATTATGTGGTTATCTATGAGACACCGTCCGCCTCGGTCTTCACCGGGCGGAATTTGCTGGCGTAACGTATTTTGTGTAATATCTATACGTTCGTGTGCACATCGTATTATGATTTACTACTCGCCACCGCAGACTTGTTTTGTTTCAAATTCAAAGTCGATGTAAGGTTAAGCGCGATTAGGATTTTGAAAACAGATTTCAATTGGTCATGAAATTTATTTTCCATTGTTTATACCTTTCAAAAAAAGAAAAAAAAGAAAATGTAACTTTTTTTTTTTTTGTAACGTGCTTTAAAAATACCTACTTCAAAAAATTCGAGACTACTACACATATAGATCGATCGGTTCGTAGAAAATAATATAATACACCTACAGATTGCTGAATTTTGATTATGATCCGGATTAATTTATTTTGTATTACAGCATTTGTTTGTTGTTTGAATTCAAAAGCAAGCCGGATAGAACATCTGGTTCCACTTTGATTACTAAAAATTAATCTGTTATATAACATTTTTTTAAGGCTGAAACATTTTAAACACTAAACATCTGCAAGATTCGGAAATATCAGTGATATGTACCCAGCGTACGCTGGGCCGGCCCAAGTAAAAATAGTGCACTAAGCAAAATTAAATGTTGCCACCTCTAAAAAAAACAAAATTGAGCTCTCATTTTAACTTAGCCTCTCCTCCTATTTTTTATGTGACATATCTACATAAAAAAATATTTAAATTTTTTTTTTTATATAGGTATGTACAAAGAGTCTCTGTACATATATCTCTGTCAGAGACTTAAAAATGATTTCTATAATTATTACTCAAAACCCAACACTATAGTGACTAACAGAATTCAATAAAATATATGTAATAATAATATAGGTATATTATAATCATATGATTTGGATATATTTACAATATTATTTTAATTTAATCTGTACAAAATCTTAAATTGGTAACCTACTATAAATATTTATAGATATATGGGTTTAATAAACATTAACTATGATTTTTTTTTTTTTGTTTACGGCCTTTTAGACCACACATCCAAACATAACTGCTTCCATCCTTCACGATTTTGCGCTAGTATATGCCAATCTTCCTCCTAGTAGAAATCTGTTACATCTTTTTTGATACAATCCTCCTATCGCATCGGGGTCTTTCCAGTGGTCTTTTCCCTCTTGGATTCTCTTGTAAGACCGTCTTTGTTATAGCAACAGGTTTCCTCCACACATGACTTGACAATTCCAATCTTCTTCTCTTTATCTCCTTTACTATATCCGGTCTGTTATACAAGTCATGTAACTCCTCATTGTGTCTTTTACGCCATTCACCTGTTTGCGGGTCAAGACATAGTCCATATTAGTGATGTGCCACTAGGAATATTCTACAAAGAATGTTCCTGGGAACAGGGAATATTCGCCAGTATCTCGAAAAATTTCTTAAAAATAAAAAAAAATAAAAAATAGAGTGGGATTAGAATGACAGTAAATACTACTGTATGTCTGTACTCTGTACTAGAGTAACAATTTTCATTAGTGTATTTTGTTCTCATAAATTGGTTAAACTTCTTTGTTAACCAATATATATTATACATATACATATACATAATATATAAAATATATTATATATATATTGAGTATTGATAAGCAATATATTAGATTAAAATTGATTATAGAATTATCGTTATTTCATTTTAGTATTTTCCATTGACATAGTTATTAGTTTTATTCTTTTAATTTTTGTTACTATAGTTCCTAGTAAGTTAAATTTTTAGTTTCACACTTCACAAACTTCTTAACATTTCTATTAATAACTTTTTGTGTTCAAATCTAGTGTACGTATTAGTATGTAAAGTACGTTATTTGTTTGGTGCTAATCAAATTTGCTGTTGAAATGACTGGTGGTAAAAAAAAAATTGGCGTGTTGGTTATATTAGCAAGAAAAACTTGTAAATGGCAAAAAGATATTTGAATACTGTTATTGCAAATTTCAATATAAAAATAAAAAATTGATCATTTATTTTGTGAACATTTTTCAGATTTGAATTAAAAAATTTAATTATAGTTACTTAGTAACTTTTAAAAAAAAAAATAAAAATCTAAACTGTAATAATATCAGCAAAAAACTCTGATTTGGATCATTAATAGCCATAAATTTAATTTAAAACTGAAACTTATGTTCAATATTTAAAAACTTATTATATTCCCGGGAATTTGCCCATCACTAGTCCATATATCCTTCTTAATATTTTTCTTTCAAATACCCTCAGTTTTGACTCGTCAGATTTCCTTACAGTCCAACATTGTACTCCATATAGTACTATAGATATTAATAGTGTGACGTATAGTTGAACTTTAAGTGTCTTTGAGAGTATTCTTGACTTAACTTGTTTGATTGGGTGATCAACATTAATTATGATATTCTATTTAAATTTTAGCCATTGTACGTTTATTCAGCATTTAATAAAAAATATCTTTTTAATGTTTGTAATTTAAACTTAATTAAATGTATACCATAGGTATACAACATAGGACATTTTTCTTATTTAAATGTTTAAAAATAAGCACCTAATCTAGTTTTATTAAATCTTATTTTTCGAAAATTTAAAATTTAACTCGACCCCAACGTTTATACAAGTTTTAACGTTGGGAAATGCTATGTGGGTATTGCTATCGCGACTAGCGGAAATCACAGAAGTGATTTTGTGGCTATTTATATTTTTGGAATAATTGGAAACGCCCAGCATAGGCCTTGATATAAAGTAATTTAATAACTTTAGACAATATTATTTTGTTATCTATATAGAGTGGTATAAGTGGTATAAGAGTGGTTTTCACGGATGAATTAATTTAAACATTTTTCTTATAAAACACCGATAGAGATAAAAAAAAAATGTGTATGTACATTTTGAAAAGGCCGCCCCTACTAAAGTGCCGCTCTAGGCAGGTGCCTAGCTCGCCTATACCTTGAGCCGGCCCTGTATGTACGTGATTTCGTGTATAAATTGCGACTAATGAAAACCATGTTTGTGTTATGTTGAGCGTGAAATAGAAAATCACTGCTTACAATTCCTTCGAACAGTATCGGAAGTGATGATTTTCTATTTCGGTTGATCAAATTAATAAAATTGTTTAATTCTATTCAAAGTAGTGCATTTAGACATATATATATATATATAAAACCTAAGACAACATTTTATTCTTATTTGGCTATGCCAGGAGTATTATTATATTTATAAAGTGTGACCGATTTATAAGAAAACCAATAAGTTAACATTTTTTGTTAATAAAGATGTTCTTTTTGAAATTACCACGTTTTCAGTTGTTGAAAAACATTGTTCAGAACAAATTTATGTAACGAGTACTGAACCATATATTTTTGCCAATGTTCCAATTGCTAGACATTTATGTTCTCTAGATTCCTACAATTATATGGTTTTAAATCGAACTTAGTTAAATCGAAATTGAGGTTCAACTAGATAATGTTGAAATTCAGTCATCAAATCGGGAAATTTAAGGACATCATTAGCGTAAAGAAACTTAAGTGCACTCATTCGAAGTGATTGTTTGCTTTAAATATTTACATGATGTCCATTAGTATTGTTTAATAAATAAATGATAGACGATTGAATGCTTTCTCGTCCAATAATGTGCTCATGTTACAAAATTTTATAACTAAGATCCAAAAATTGCAATATTTATTGTATAGAATTTTACTCAAGATGAAATCATTCTTTAATTTCAGAAAAATCGTTTGCTTGAATAAGGTTATACTTTTTTCATCATTATAATGTTTTTAATGGTTTCAAATGTTTTAAAAATATTTTTAAATATTATTGCACATTTTATTAAATACCTACATATTTTATAATAATTTAATTAATATAGTGTGCATACAAAAAATCAGTAAATAATTATAGTAATAATAATAATATCTGACATGAATTTCTTTGGAAATTTTATTTTCTATTGATATTCAAGATAAATTCGACAAACTTATTTGGAACATTGTACTTCAGATATAGTTTTTAATTATTTTAAGTTTTGAAATACTTCTTTCTGCGTTTGCCATTGTCACTGGTATTGCCAAAAAAATAAAACAAGTTGTACATAAATATGGGAAGTTTGCCATTATTAAATAGGTAATTTTCTTAAACTATAAAATCATGTACAGAACTTATTTTTATAATAACTTATTAAAACTCATATTGTTTTCACTGAAGCCAGAGATGGACAAAAAAAAAAAAACATTTTATATAAATGCTAATAAAATTTTGCAGACATTATGCTTCAAGATCTTGCACAATTATTGTAAATACAGTGACTCAGAAGAATATAGTTAGTAAAATTTATAGTAAGGACGAGTAGAGGCAATAGAACATTTTATTAAATAGAATCATTGGAAGGCTAAAAATTATAAGATCGGGCCTTATATAAATAAGATAACAATTGTTAACTATAATTACAAATACTTTAATATGAGTCATGAATTTAAGTTGTAATATTATAGTATCTAATTATATTATTTTAAATTGCATATTTTTCTGTTTCTATTGTAAACTAAAATAATTTTTTTTCGGTTTATTAAAAACGCCTTTATTATTACATCCAAATATTTTGATTTTAATAAATTATACTGTATCTGCAAGTATTCACTTTTGTAACAATACACCAATAGATTTAGAAAAAGTTTAAAAACTTGTTATTTAACATTTAATTAATTGTATAGATACTTTGATTTGGTTAATATTATTAAAATTCAATTAATATTAGTTTAAAATATAGTTTCTTTCTTATTATAATATAATAATTAGTGTATATACAAAACATGAATTATATAAATCAACTAAATAATATTTATTTAAACTGTTAGAGTTAATAATTTCTTATGATGAATTACAAAATTTAATAATACTCAAATTTTAATATAAAACAATTATTTAAAAATTAGAAAAATCAAAAGTTGTAATAGAGGAACAATTAGAGGTAAAATTATTAAAAAGAAATAGTAAGGGTAATTTACTTTAATAATGATGCAGAGAAAATGCAAATTTGACATTTACAAATAATCACTATAATGTACAATTTCATTGATTGAATTGCAAATATGGTATGACTAAAAAAAAGTTTATTACACATCTAATATGTAAATTGTATAAAAAATATTAAATATTTAACTCCAACGGTAGTGTGCATATGCTCTGTTTGCTTCACAAAGTTTATGTAGATCTAGTTTCTTTTTGAAAACACGTCCCTATAATTAATAATTAAACAATTTAGAAAATTTATGAGTTATCAAATAATTGAAATAATTTATTTTTTATGTTAAGGTCAATTGAGAATTGTTAACTTACATCATTATTAGAAGCATTGATTAATTCAGATGCCATGAAATCAGCAAAACTAACAGCTTTGTCCTTTTCTCGGCCACAATGTACAAACCATCTCATTGCATAAAAAGTAGATTCTTTATCTGTAATTGGTACTGGAACCTTAAATAAAATATTAAGTAATATTTAAGCTTCATAAAATTATCATATTTTGATGTAAATAATGATATTTTACATATTTAATAGTACATATTAATATTTTTTAAAAACTTAAATACAATAATTTACTCTAGTCAATGGATAACTAATATTGATTAAGCAAATTTAGGAAATAAAATTATTAACCAATCTATTAAAGATTGTTTTTAAGAGTGAAAATAAATTCTAATTAAGATCTTGTAGAATTTATAGACAGTTATATACAAGTTCAAAAAAAAAAAATAATAAATAAAATTCTTTGAACTAAAACGTTTATAAAAAAATTAATTCATACATTTTATATAAATTGTATTTGATTAGCATAAATACAATTGATCATTACTAATAATAAAGTATTTAACACATAATTAATACAAGCCTATTTGAATAATCATATTCTTAAAACTTTTTGTTTATATTTATAATATAGTTAATACACTCAGTCAATTGTAACTTGAGTTATCTAATAATTAAATGACATCAAAAACATTAAAACTATAAATACTGGAAAATAGTTATAATATTATTAATTAATACAAATTAAAGATGATAAGTCTAACCTGATAATAGGAACCTCCACGTTTTACTGCAGTCAATTTTAAAAGTGGTTTGCAATTAGATACTGCTTTTTTGAATATGATGACAGGATCTATAATTATGGAAGCTTTCCTCTCTGGATCTGTTTCTCTATTATACTTTGCTAGCTGTAGTCTCTTAATTTTTTCAAATGTCTTAAAATGAAAAATAAAGTGTTATTGGATAGTTTAAAAATTATAAACAAATAAATATAATAATATATTATTTTATTAATTATAATATATATATATATATACTCATAAATATAATCATGGGTATTATTAAATTAACAATAAAAAATGTATATATTTATAATTAAATTATATTAAAGTTTAATAAATATTGATAACTTACATTTTCTAAAACTTGACGTGCTATCTTCTTTTGCCCTTTTTTGAGCATATAATTTATGAATTTTCTATAAAAAACAAAAAATAAATTTACTCTCCATATTTAGTGAGTAGATTCAATATATGTGCCTGAAAGCTGATCTACCAATTTAACATTTATTAAATATTTATCAATATAAATAATTTGTGTTAATACATTTTCACGACTAATACTAGATAAAATAAATAAGCTTTAAAAATTTGATTAAAAAATCTTTAGTAAAATTGTATTTTATTTTTATTTTACTTTGTTTATTTAATTACAATAAAAAATAAATACTTACGAGACTAAAGGATCATGAAATACAGAGCATGTATCATTACTTCTAGCAGCTTTAAATGGAACCAATTTATAATTTTCAATTTCTCCAGATTCTTGTAATTTATCTATATCTTGTTTCTTAAAGACAGGTTCCACATAATGAGGAGGATATACACTGTATTTAGCAGCTGTCAATTGTGGTAATGGGTGAAACCTTTAACAAATATTATAGTTCATTTTAAAATTTGTGCTTATGATGAAAAATTCAAAATGTCTTTTTTAACTTATAACTTAATGTTTTTAATTAAATTTACATTAAATAATATTTAAATTTATAAATAAATACTTCAATAATTAATTTGTGTATAAATAAGATAATTAATCAAAATTATGGATATAGAAGTACATATTCTGAATAAAAAGTCTAATTTAAAAGAATTATACAAACGGTTTCAGTTTTTCAAAAAACTGACTATAGATTCTTTAAGTCAAATGATAATAAAGAACAGATTCATCATAAGTTAATTACCTAGATTTTAATTCGCAAAATATATCTGTCAAGAAAAAAATTATTAATAACTCTATTTACTTGAAGAAAAGCCAAAATTACATAAACCATTCTAAATATTAATAATTTATGTCTGATTTATGTATTTATTATTTATTTATCCATCGGAAATAGGAATGAGCTGAATTTAGGTACTGTCTGTATTAAATGTTCAGGACTAATACAAATCGTTAACCCAGAAACAATGAATATAAAATACTTGACTTAACAAATTTTTGTAAAACTATTGTAATAGTTGAATTAAAGTTATCAATAGTAATTTTAAAAAATAATTAAATCATTAGAATTAAGCTTTTAAACAGTATGTTATGTTAACTCAATTTAATTGCGTTAAGTGGCAGTCAGGTACCCTTACGATGACGAGCAGCAGTCTTGACAAACATGCGAGGAACGAATCTAGTGGTAAAATTTATCTTAATCGTTTCAATATCGAACGTTTATTTTTTTTTTTTTATCTAAGTTCCATACGAATTATCCGAACCGTTTCTGATGACATAATACGGTATCAACTGAATAACAGAAAGGTAACACTTACCCATGTTTGACAATAAGGCCTAACCTTAAGTGTTTAACGAATAATGCCATGGTTATTACGAAACCGGTAAATAATATTTAGTCGAAACAACATAGAATTCAAACGGCAGTCGGAAGCTGAAATAAATGGAATAAAAATGCATGTTATTGTCGTTATCACGTTGAAGATTTTTATTTCATTATCACATTTTTGTTATCATAGATAAGTTGAGAAAGAGAGAGGGATTGAATGAGAAAGAGTAGAGATCCTTGATATTAAATATTATATACCTATCAAGGCTCTCTAAAAAAGAGTATTTGAGAGAGAAGGAATGTATATGATGTTTTGGTGGAAAGTGGAGAATAGGGTAAGAGGAAAAGAGACAGAAAATGAGAGCAAGAAAGAGAGAATTGTACTGGCACAGTGCTGCACTCATAAGCAAGATAGCGCCTGTTAAATTAATATTTCAACTCGAAAACGTAAGAAAATTTGTAAAAACATTGTTCCGTTTTCGTATTTTATAGCAGCGATTCCAAAGTTGTGTTCCGTTATCATTTTTCAGGGCTCCGTTCATAGACATATCAAGATATCTTAATATGTCTATGGCTCCATTCGATCAATCATAAAATATTGAACAATGCAACAATTATTGATCATAACAAGGTATATTGTAAGGCACTGTTGAGCATTGATTGCGATATCAAGAACATTTTTTGCGATTTTGGAAGTACATTTTTATGTTGTTAATAATGTTATAATGATAATATTACGGGTGAGAAGGTTGGTGAACTCAGTCGTGTAGCTAGCTATTTCAAAAGGGGGGTGTTATTCAAAATTATACACAACAAAATAAATACTTTACGTATACTTTATTGTACAAGAATACAAACACATTAGTACATTACACATGAATATCTGTTCATGTGTAATGTACTATTGTATGAGAAAGTATTTAAATATTTTATCATATTAAAATTTCAAATGTACATTTTTGTCATATGTATCTATTTTAAATCACGCATGATACGACATAAAACCACGGCTTTAGTTTATTAGACAAAACGATTTAATGAGAAGCCGGATCCCGGGGCTTTACATTATTGTTATGTATATATTTCGTTATGATAAATATGTTTTCATCATGGTTTATGATCAATTTTTACCTTTATTAGACTTCAGTATAATGTTAACGTGGTTAAGGGAGGGTGTTACTACACCTATAACACATAGCTACTGGCCTAGGTAAAATAGTTTGAAAATTATATTTTTGAAAAACCACCAATATCATAATTTTGTGGGAATTACGTGTATTTTAGTGAAGTGATTTTCAAATTTTTAATATTACATGTTGTATTATTTTACCAGTTATATCTATTATTTTAAAGATTATTTTTCGGAAGTCGATTATCTTATCAGTACTTGCCTACGCCGAACATAGACGTAATTCCTTTATTGTTTCCTTAATTTTACTTGTTTGATTTAGTATTATGTATATTGTATATAATACACTATTTATATGCGTTATGAATATAACACTATAGTAGGTATGCGAGCCTTGGTTTGTTTCGAATCAGTTCCAGTAATTCCATCAATAATTATTTTACAAATCGTCAGCTTTCTATTTATTGTACTGGTATAATATATTCATATTTGAAGTACAGTATTAGTTTGAGAGTGCACCTAATATCTAGCGTAGTGTTTATTCATATAAAGAATTATATTTAGTATACTTAGTTAAGAGTAGAGTTATAAATGTGACTTTTTATAGAGGGGTAGAGGGAATTTAATGCGTTGTTGACAAAAATTCTTAGAATAGACCCTGGATCATAATTTAAAACAATGAGCAGACATACATTTTAACAAGACTCCGTCAAATCAAATAGAATTCGTCGATACGTGTATAAACTAATCCCCATAAAAAAATATAATTGTTCAATTTTAGATGACACGCATTTCCATTCTATGTATTACCCGGACGGGTATATTGTATATAAATAATAATATTAAATATACCTAATCTTATAGAGTAGGCAAGAATTTTCTCCTGCATACATATCATGTGTAATATGCTTCGTAGAACACAGGCAAATAAAACACGAATTATGAAATATTTCTTGGGGCTCTACGAAAAAAATACTGCTTAAAGAAAGGGTTCGTGGCAGAATTAGCATTTGTCGAATAAAAAATTATTTGATTGATTATTTGAATAAAAATGTTTACTTTATTCATTCCTAGATTATTCATCTTTTTAATTTTTACAATTATTCGTTATTCAACTAGTTATTCTAGGTTTTTTATTCATTATTTAATTATTGATTATACAATTATTCATTATTCTCCATAGTCGTTTTTATCTAAAATGATTCCTAGATAATTTTAAAATTCTAACTTTATTGAAAATTGAAACTAGTGTGTTTTTTTATTGTTACATTTTATCTGCTATTGAAAATGTCAAAACCAAAAATCATAAATAATATTTTTATCTATGAGGGGCTAATGTAACTGCTTTAATAACATTTTTGTAATTGATTTAAAATGAAGTCTGACATAACTTGAAGTAGGTAGCCATATTATAGGTGCTGAAATGTTATTTAGTATAGTATTTACTATTATTATTTCTGTCATGATTTTTATTAATATTATATAAATTATTGTTATTATAATTATTTGCTTTAAGGTTTCATATACCGTTCTACAGGTATTGATGGTTAGGGAAAATATTGTGTTATTAATTTAATTATAGACTAAGATAGTCAACATTTTCACCACTTTAACCACTACTTTTACAGAAATAACAAGACCCAAGAATAAGTTACAGCATAATTAACGCTTTATAATTCTTACCACTTAGTGAATTAATGATTGGAATAATCTATTTATGTACAACGACATTTGTACAATTGTTATGATTACCTAATAAAATATTTTGACGAAACACATGTTAGTGTAAAAGTCAGGGAGCCTGATATTTTCCCCACATCTATGGATTGTACTAGAATTAACTTGAAACTATAGCAACAGAAGAGACAATTTTTGTGAACGGTGGAATATATATTTTAATAAACTTGTAGGAACATCTATCATTGTGGGTGTTAATTAAGCGTGTACAACATTTTGAAATGCCAACGTGGGTTGAAAGAACCAGTTTTGAATAAAACATAAACGATACATTAATGACTTTTAAGTTAACAAAAAAATAAATACTCTATAAGACAAACCACACAAATAATGTGAGAGCTACTTAATAAAAAAATTAAAATAGAGTAATTTTTATATAATATATCGAAATGTGTGAAATAATTATTACTGTTCATAAATTTTATATTTTTTAAATGGATGTGTTTAAATGCAGGTACGGTACCTACGTATAAAACGTTGTATGCAGGTACTGTGTTAAAATCGTCCAGACAAGAAAATCATTCAATTTTTGTAATATAGGTATATTATTTCATATTTATTAAATACTTTATTACATAAATATAATGCGCCAAATAACATATAAGCATATATGCTAGCAATGAGTGACAGATATAGCAAATCACACTTATAATAATAAGTATTATTATTATTACCTATTTTTAACTTCATCACGTCATAGGATCATCTTTTCTGTTTTTTTTTTTTGAGGGTGGCTCATTGCTATGTTTTTTTTAGTGGCTCTATCAAAACCTGTTTTATTGAAGGAGCAAAGTTGTTTTAATGCGCGTTTGGGTCTACCTCTAACTTTCACTTTATCCTTAAACTTCAGTAATAATCGTCCTGTTAGATCAGCAGGCTTGCTTTTGTCTTCAAGGGTGGTTGATGTTCCCACGTTATTTTTTTTTGTCATTCAATGCTTGTTGTACTGGAGACTCAAATTCGATTGCTTGTGTTGACTTTGGTTTAATGTGAGTAGATGCACAAGCGCTCGCAGCTAGTAATGAACAATTTTCAATTTTAGAACCAGATCGTATGATATGTTCAACTTCTTTTATACTCTTAAGATAAGCGTGAAACTGGTCCGTTCCGTGGCAAGCAGACAGGCTAGCGTGATGCTAAGTGTGACAGGCAGCATCGTGTTGTATTTTTGACGGTTATTCAATACTGGAACTTCTACCTCATCTAGACGTGCTCGATTTTCCATCTCATCTAGTTGTACTCGATCTTCTATTTTGTCTAAGTTATGCATAGCTGTAGAATTAAACTACACATTTCTCTGTTGACGATAACGACTATGAAACAGAGACAATTCGAAACGGCTGAAAGTGATCTACATTGTTGTTCTCTTATTAGTAGTACATGGCGGCATGGAGACTGGTTTTTAGTATAGAATGTGTAGGTACATTCTGTAGTCGAACATTCATAAACCGCTTCATCATCTTCATATCGTTCCCGTACACCTTCACATTCCAACGTCATAAACTCTCTCCGAATTTGTAAAGCTTTCAAGCTTTGATGGAAAAGTACACACCCACGATCATTCAAGGCAAGTGATGCTTCAGCATTCAATTTACTGATGTCAGTGTCTTTGTCATGTATTTTCAGTGATCTGAGATTTGCCGTAGAAGTTGACTCGGTAAGTCTTTCTGAGCAGAACGATACTTTGAGAAATTTCAGAAAGCGAAGAGAACCTTTTGTGAAGATTGTTTCAAAGTCCAAAAAGATCTTTCAATTCTGTTTTTTGTGTTGTCTCCTAACGTCGGAAGTTTTTTTCTAAAACATTTAACCCACATGATTTTGCAACTTGAATTGCAATTGTTATCGAATTGTTCTTTAAGTGAATCGTATTTCATGTTGACCCGAACCTGAATATCATTAACTGAAGCGAGAAAAATATTTTTATTTTCATCGTAGAGCTCTTCACTCTGAACATACAACATATTCTTGAATTTAGTCATAATGTAATTTTTAATTTCAATCACTATGGGTGCTGTTGCTACAAGATTTTTAACGTATTTTATTATGTGAAATGTGCAAAGTAAAATTGTTGCTTTTTCAAACACTTCCTTCAAAACGGAAATTTCATTAAAATCTTTGTCAACTATGAAAATATTCGTATGTTAAGTACATATCGTTTTAAAAACTGAAAAAGCTATGCGGAAATTACTGCTGGCCTCTTCAGATAAAAAAAGCAAGCATACACATTTCGCTTTTATTGGTAATAGGATTGAGATAACAAAATTCACACAATTTATATTTGGACATGTTAAAATCAAACGTTGTGTCAATTTGAACGGCAGTTTTGAGGCTTTAAAAATTTTTTTTATAATATTTGAACTAAAACAAAGCACTGGAACGTTTCTATTGACATCTAATTTACTAACTACGTCACCTCCCGCTTCCTCAATTCCTTCTAGAAACATCTGCAGTTCCGATCCATCGGAAGATTTGGGAACTAACTTTTGAAGCAAATTTCGAATTTTTTGAGATGAAAGTTTCTTGTCAAATTTACTTTGAAATACACAGCTGATCTGATTGACTTACAGCTCGCGTCGTGAAGATCTATCAACACGTCTTTCTGTTCACTAGTGAGTTTTATTCTTGTCATTCCAAACGCAGTCCTACTTATTTCGTGATTATGTTCTAAACTTACACTCGTAATCTTGACCTGAGTAGAGTTAACCAGCTTGAAACAGGTAATTTTAGCTTTGCACCCAACATAATTGTAATGTAGTTTAGTTCGTTTACCTGTACTATTTGAAGGTATTTTGTAACCATGTCGGCAAAGAATTGTAACTTGACGCTTATTATTATTGGTAACAATAAACGGTTGGTAATTCTCATCACAAAACGTTTTAAAAATTTCAAAAAATAGTTCATAACTGTTAAATATTTCGCCCACTTTAATATTATTCTTATTATCTTCCATGATGATAAAAAAACTGAAAAAATCACGTTTCACACAAAAAAACGTAAGAAAAAAAACCGAACAAATAACGATGCACTGGACATAATATTAAACATAGAAAAAACCACGGAGCATACAATAAAATGCCGACATTTGTCTGCGAGTAACTTGTTTCATATAATATACTGTTGTACTTCACTGTTTTTACAATGTGGTAATATTGAGATACGTATAATTCAAGATTTATTATCGGTGTGGTGGACAATCCTCACGTCACCTTATCGAAGCAGCGATAATCTTAATCCGATTAAATAATCAGCCAATTACTCTTATTAAGTTGTATACCAGGCGTGCCCAACCTTTTTCAACTTGCAGGCCACATTCGACATTTATATTTACACTACGGGCCGAATAAACTTCACGGTTTTTATTGTTCATTGAGATAAAATGTACAATAGACATGATATTCACTTTTTTCATTTATCGAATTGATTGCTCTAATCATGTGTGTTTGAAGTACCTATTGTATACAATATTTATGATTGTCAAGAAAAGCACGACGGATTGCTTTTTTTAATTTTACATTTTATTTTCGATACGAATGCATGGTACCTGCATATAACGTTTTATACGTAGGTACCGTACCTGCATGTGAACACATCCTTTTTAAATACCTGTTACTTTATATGTATTTGTATTTTAAGTTAATTTTGATTGCTACTATCATTTTTTTTATTTATTTGTTTTTAACATATTATTTGAATTTATTTAGTGGACGAATGGTGATTCATTAAAACTATATAAACATTGTAAATATTTTAGGATCCCTTTACATTCAATTTTGAAAAGTACTAGTTATACTGTGTTTTTAATTTATTTTGTCATAAATTCTTTAGACTGTATCAATATTCCGATCACCATAAAAGCGAGCGTGAACGCTGCTTAAAAAAAAAAAAAAAAATGTATATGGTACTTGATATTAGTAGTGAGTCATCAATAATATTAAGAAAACTAAACGTTAAGATAATTCAAAAATATGTTTTTAATATCTACTTGACAGTATATTTGTGTTGTATTTATTATTTATACTTATAAGCTTCATTATATTATAAAATGATAAGTTATAGGCTATTTACAAGATTAACGTATTAATTCAAAAAACACTTTTATAACAATTTCGTTACAAATAATATTAGAATAATTTTAATAGAGATTTAAATTAACAAAGAAGACGAATTCTTATTATTTAATATTTAATTTTGACTTAAACAGAACGTGTATGACAATATTAAATTACCATATTATATTATTTATCTGAATATAAATTTTGTATAAAAATACATAGGTACTTCAAGGTTTTCATGTTTTCTTCTAAGCTTTTCATAAACCCAAGTAAATGTTTAAGAAGGGACAGTTATTATGAATTTTTCTCCTTTTTATTAAATATATATTTATAAAGCATGATATGTTTAGATTAATTTATGACTCTAGGCTATTCAATATTTATATTACACACTATTTGGTAAATATTATGAACAATACACTAAACAATATTATAATGAAAGTTATTTTATTTGTAATTTAACAAAATAAATAATGTATAGTAATAGTACAATAAATTGAGAATATTTTTTGAATTGTCCAATTGCTTAGTCTGTTTGAACGTATTTTTCCAAAATTCCATAATCAAGAGAGTGTTCTAAGAGCAATGAGTGATTCCATATGATCACTTCATTTTCGTTGTGTTTCCTTTCTAGTTGATAATCATTACACGAACCGTTGAATACTTCCAAGTAATAATGTTTTTGTCGTTGGTTTGATATTACATCTGCGATTGGGAAAAATACACTATTTTTAAGCAAATTAAATTTTAAAACAATTACAAAGCATTTTATCTGTAATAATTAGTTTATGAACCGTTCGATAGTAATATATAGAATAATAGATCCTTGATATTATTTATATTATTTATTATATATAATATTATTATATAAAGTTTCTTTAGACAGAATAATACATTTTTAATATGATCGATTGAAAGGTATTAGACAAGAACATATATTTAAGTTATTATATTATTTTAATGAATTGACAAAATATGATGAACAAGATAATTAAAATTTTGCATTTTTGCAGATCTTATGTTTTATACATTTTTATGAAATATTAAAAACAATTTACATGTATTTAATGGTATATTAATACCAGTAGTATAAATATTTTAAATACTTTAAATATATTTTATTCTAACTATTAGTTTGTACTTATTAATTTGGTATTTAACACATTGATGGACACACTGCATTTTTGTTTTTTTCTTAAGTAGATACAGAAACGCAATTACATACTACTGCTATAGCAGCAGTGATTTGATAGTACTATTATTAGCAGTACTGTCCACCTACATGGTAATATAAAGTACGTTTATCACTACTGCTACAGCAGTACCGTAAAATTATTCAATATTTTTAATATTTTTAAAACGAAAATATACAATTTAAAACAAAAACTTCTTTTTTTATTTATTTTTTCGACTTAAAATCTAAAAAAGGTGATAATATAACAATAAGACTATTTTTCATGACTTGAATTTCATAAATCAAAAATTAGTTATAAAATTTTTTATAATCGTGGCAGTAGTATTAAATTACAAAAAATATTGTTTGAATAAAATTTTTTTCGATATTATTATAAAACTTCCAAATATTGATTCTTCTCCGCTTTTTTGGATGTAAAAAAAAAAATTTAAATACGTACTCTGATGTTCATTGCCGGTCTGGTGATGTATATTTGTCTGAGTGGCGTTGTCTACTTTAATGCACAATTTAGGTCTGCCGACTCCAAATGTTAAATGGTTTCCAGTGTTGTACTCCACTTCCTTTCTTACTACCGCCATAGATTCCAGCTGGTTCAACGAATGGAAGAGGTCGGGCACCCATCGTTCCGTCGGCTCGAACGATCCGTAGAAATCCTGTATCAATAGTACACAAATTTAATACAAGTGGGTTTACTTTTCTTAGACGTAATTATGTTACTCATTAATTCTAGGTAAGTAATTATGTTTGTGTATATAAAATAACTTTTCTTGAGTGATTCATCATCACTTAGCCTAAGCTGCTGAAGCTATGAGTATGATATTTGGACAGTAATTTTGTTTTGTGATGACACCTACTAAGAAAGGATTTTTCAAAATTAAAAACCTAAAGAGGTTAAAAGGGTTAATAGGGGTAAAAATGGAAAGAACCACCTAGCTGGAACCATTGAAGCTATGAGTTTTAAGTCAGTGAACTTACTTATTTTATGAAACAAAAAATCTCCCTAAGAAAGAATTTTTCAAAATTCAACACTTTCAGGGATTGAAAGGGGTAAAAATGGAAAAATTGACAGAACATTTTTTTTTTTATTATACACTTTGGTTAGTGCATTTACTATAATTATTTAAGTAGTTATTGTTAAGACTATATCATAAAAATAATAAAGATATGTTGTTTATTTTACCTGTTTGTTCAAGTTAATAAAATAATATATTTAATGAGACAACCGATATTTAATATGTCTCGGATATATATTAATATATTCAACACTTTATTGATAACATATAAAACTGTTAAAATAAAAAGTTATACATAGGTATTACAAATAACTGCATACGGGTGAAGCCAGGTTATTCATCTAGTATTTATATATATGTTACGGCTAGTGTTAGGAGTAGGGTTGTAAAATTTCATGAAATTTATTTTCATGAATTATATAATTTGAGTGAAAAATAAAAATTTGGTTTCATTTTAGTAAAAATATAATGCTTTATGTTTTATTTTTCTTGGAATACTTTTTGTATTATTAATTGTACTAAATAGAAATAAAAATTAATTTATATAAATTAACAATTAACACCATATTAGTTTATAGTTATTATAATTTATAAATATTGATTTAAGAGGTAAGAGACCAATAGTCATTGAAACACCTGAAGAAATTTTACAAAATATAGATGAATTTATAAATAAGTTAGTCCCATTACTCATCAGCTATCATATTATTTCAGAAGTTTCTCATCAAAAAAAATATATCGGTACCTAGTGAGTTTAAAAGTTAAGCACATATTTGTAAAATGTATTGTGAATATTGAGAAACACACAATATTATACCAGCATCTGAAAATAATTTTACAGAAAAATGAAAATAACAATTCAATATTGAATTGTATTTATATACAAATAATAAATAAAATAAATATATATATATATATATGTATGTATAAAAGATAATAAACATAATGTAACTAAATAAATCTAATTTAATAAAAAATAAAAATTAGCTCCTTTGTATAGTTAAACAAATAACTTATCAGTATAAAATATAAATTCATAATAATTAGCCATTAGGTAAATATAAATTTTTAAATACTATACTATTGAAAGTATGAAAATTAAAATTAATATGACTGAATTCATATAATATATAAATATTTAATATAATATTTAATATATAATATATTTATAAATATATTATTTAAAGATAACAATATAATAAAATAAAAATAAGCTCCTTTGCATAGTTAAACAAATCATAAATTAAGGAAGTATAATGTTCTCATTAATAAACTCAAGAAAGTAAGGATATTAAAATTTAGATGACTGAAGACACTTCAGAAAACTTGACTAGTAACATGTAAATAAATCACAGGCGATTAGAACTATTACTTATTAGTTAATTTATTAGTAATGAAATAAGTTAAATTAATAAGTTAATTTAACTTAACTTTTAACTTATTAACTCCTAGGCTTGAAAACAAGATATACCTACAAAGTACTACAAGCTGGTATCTTTACTTACAAACTTGAGTCGAAAATTACGCTATATTATTACGGACTGTCTCTATTGAGCACACATTATTGTATGTAACTGCATGCATTGTGTATATATTTTGCAATCAATATCAATTTTAAAATAATATCAAAATGCACACAACTGTGTACAATATAATATTGTACAATATTTATAATATTAAAAATATTTTACTTACCACGTGCATGGCTCACTTCTATACAACTACCCAACATATTAATATTCATGAAAAATTACAATTTCAAAATATTGTATTATTATTGTAAATAGTTTTAAATTTTTAATGTACCAATGGCTAAATTTATTTAGTCATTAGCCGATAACGGTTGGATAATGTTGGTTTATTGGCTAGTGTTAAGATTATTCATTTGTTTTTGGTGGCTGAATTCCGAAATTTTGACATTAGCCAAAAGCATTGTCTAAACATAAGATTAGCCATCCTTCGAACACTAGATGTAACATATATATATATATATATATATATATATATATATAAGGGTAGTCATTACTTATAGGAAAAGACATGTTTCGACATCAAATTTATTTGATTGTAATTATAAAGAATCAAATTACTGGTTTTAAATTTCCATCCAAGAAGGATTGTTATCTGTTCTATTTTTTAATATGTGGTCAGGTAACATAAATTTACACGAATGTTCACGATTATTTATTAATGAATGTTCGGTTTTCTGAAGAATAGCTGAAATATAACTCACGATAATTCTAAAAAAATTAAAGAAGTTAAGAAAAAATTGTATGATGTATAGAAAAAGTCAGAGAAAAGTATAACGTGAAAAACTGAGACACAAATTAGACAATTAATTTGATATTGGCCAATCGGATGCTTTAAATTTAATTAAAATGAAAGAAGATAATATTTTTTTATTAAAACAACGAGAAAAAAGATGTCCAGTTACCTATGTATATATATAAAACTAGTGGCTGTTGAGAAACGCAAAGAAACTCCGAAAGAGCAGGAAGGTGGACGAAATAGATTTCAAGAATTAAAAACATTAACAGTCAATTAACATTGTCAGGTATTTAAATAAAATATGAAAAACTATTATTTAACTGTTATTAATTATTATTTGTTTATTTGTAAACAAATTTTATTTTTATTTTATTACAGACAGAATCCGACATTTGAGTTCATCAAGTTCTGAAGACTAGGACATGTTTTTAGATGCAGAAGTAAATGAAATTTCCAGTCCTTCAAAACCAAAACAGGCAAAAATAAATATTATGATTCCTCCCTTATCGGCAACTTTAGATAAATGCAAAATCAGTGATCGTGATGCAGTGCATTTATTAACAGCTGCAGCAAAAAGCTTTCAGGTGAATTTTTTGGAATTTACTATAAATAGGTCGACTATTGACGAAAACGTGAACAGTTATCAGTTATCTGAAGTTAGATTTAAGCACCATTTAAATGATATAATTGTACACAGGTCCGTTATCTCAGTATCACCAAAGTATACATTTAACTCCAAAAATATCCCATCGATTATTATTTCTTTTGTAACGATTTGTAATCGTAATTTATATGTTTGTACACCCTCCCCCCCTAAACTTATGCAAATCATGCATTTACCTTTTTCCTGAATTTTGCTCTCAACAATTTTACTAGGGTACTGAGATAACGGTTACACCGGTACCGCCATGGGAAAAATTTATTTTGAATTCAGATGTACATTTTCATCCTACGTGTTATAGTATGCTATCTAAATTACTTTTATATAGTATTAAATAAAATTGGGGAGGGGGTATTAGTATGAAATTATTGTGGTTAAAGTTAAGGACCACCTTAATATAAATAATATATATACTCGTATATATATATATATATATATACCTACCCTAATATATATATTCAATGTTAACTATTAACATATGATATCGCATTTATCAATCCGAGAATCATACAAATAATTAAGTTACACAAATAGTTAGCTTCGACTAGTATTATACACTATTATTTTATACTTGTCTAATTTTTGTATATAAATTAAAATATTTTTAATAAGGAATGTGTTTTAAAAATAAAATAATTTTAATTAAAAAATTAATTAATGTTTATTGGTATCTTAACATAAATCCATGAACTGGTGTAATTAACTTAAAATTAAATAAAAGAATATTCATTAATCTTAGAATAGGAAGTTATACACTTCCTATTATTATTTCTTGTAAATTAAATAAACTTTTTGTGAATCATGCGTAAAAAGTAATCTATTAACCACAAAAATACTGGTTATGTTACTGGAAAAATTAGTTTTATTTTAGTTTTCTTCGAAAGCGGAGCGTGGATTTAATACGGAAATACGGTCAGCTTTTCGAAACTTTTGGTTTATTAAATTTAAAATTGTAATTTAATTTTGTAATTGTGTAGTTTTTAACTCAATGTAATAGATTTTAAAAATTATAGCATGTATTGTCATAAAGGAATTTCACTATTATATATTTTACATATTGTTTATTTTAAATTAAAACTAATTGTGCATATTTTGTTAAGCTAAATATTATTTATATTTTAATTATTTAATATTATTTGACGCATTGTTACCTTTATTTTTATGAACTGGATGATAGTATGCGCAGCAAATGACATCAAAATTAATAGTGTTATCATTGCCAATGACCATGCCACCCAATACATCATCGGCGGATAAGTTACATTTTGAAAACTCGGTGAAATCCAATTCAAACTGGATGCAAATATTATATGCTAAAGTGCGAAAACGAGGTTATGAAAAAATACATATTTTGATATTTGTAGAGTTGATTGCGAAAACAATCAATTACAGTTCGACCGACTACAAAATATCATATTATTGTTAATAAAGTGAGATATTTAAATCGAGTTCTTTTGGATAATTGGATAATGTAGAACGTACAAGGAATGAATATATTTTAAATCGTATTCAAATTATTCGAAAGACATGATAATCACACTATTTATATAAATATTTTAAGAATCATTGTTGAATATTGACTAAGTGTTTAGTTAATGCGTTGAGAAAATGTATTTGAGAACAATTTTGAACAAAATCTGGCTGTATTGAAGTAGGTAGTGTAGTATATTTTATATTTTTTTCTGACTGTTAGAGTTTATAATAAAATTTAAAATATTAACGACTTTTAAATTATTTATCATACATTAAAAAGGTAACCGTTAAAACCGTTAAATTTAAAGCAATGAAATATTTTAAGAATGTGACAGAAAACATTATCTTTTAAGTATTTAGAATTCAAATTTAAAAATAAATATATATTTTTATTTTACATAAAATAATATAAAACAAGTGGATGAACAATTCGAATTTGAAGGTTTATGATATTTTATAAAAATAAAAATAAAATTTTAATTGTAATTAAAATATTATACAAACTAGTTTGCGTACATCTTATATTTCTATCTTATATTATTTTTATATTTCATCTCTACAGTTACTTACATGTTAATTAAAAAATAATTGATCTACAACATAGACCAAAAGTAATTAATTTTGTTAAAAAACTTCATTTAAATTTTATGAATCAGTATCAATGATTTACATTAATGCATATACCATAATCATTTTTGAAAAACATTTTATGAAATCATTTTCCCTAGTCAGAGAGGGCAAAAATAAACCTTTTTCTATTAATTTTCAAATACATTCTTACGATTATAAATACTGGACCTCCTATGAATAGTAACTTCAAAGCGATCGAAGGAGAGTTGTTTGTCATAAACGCAAGATCAGCGCAAAATTCATTCATCCCATAAATACCAAATATCAGTATTGCTTCAAAAGTGGTAATCATCAGTATTCCCATTGCAGATCCTATATCATCCACTAATGAAATGAGCATTTCTCCTCCCTATTTAAAATTCATGAGGTAGTTATTATAGTTTATAACTTATATAAGTGCTTAAATCTTAAGCCATTGCGTGAATTGTAAACATTGATTAACGTAAATAGTTTAGACATAATTTTGTTTCCATTTGGTTTGGCCGTAAAAATGATAATTTATCGATTAATCGAATATAATTATGATATTAACCAAATGGAAACAGTAAAATCCTTCCCAGACTAAACATATCGACGTCTGCTGTGATAACGTACGTCCAAAGTCATGTTTAATGCAACGTACATGGGCCTCACACTGATCATGTTTATTGGTTAACCAACTGATAACTTATCTGTCAGTTAATAATGAGCTATAAATTATAACTATTTCGATAAAACCAATAACCTTTAATAATATTTAACTTGGGAGTTGATTACAGCTTTATACTGCCTTACCGGTTACCTATAATATTCCATAATCTGATACTGTTCTCAATAAAAACTGGCCAGTACTTATGAGCATTGATAATTTAGTATTAACCATACTTTTGAATAGGGTGAGTTTAATTTGTTCATTAAGTTTTAGTTATAAATTAGTAAATCCATTATATATTATAAAGATAAAACTCTTTAATTTAAACTCATTCTCTTAAACTCTTTTACCATAAAATAACGATTGGACACTTTCAACTGATGATAATTATATATATATATATTATATATCGAACGTCGACGTGCCGTACGGACGTCCCCGCTTTTTGACGCGTCATATTCAGTGCGCGGATTCGCAATTAAATACGTTGAATTTAAAAAGAGAACGTTAAAGCACATCATCGCAATGAACGCCGAGGTATTGAGGCCTTAAGGTATACGTAAAACGTATTAGAATTGTTCTACATAAATCATTAAATAGTTTTTATTTGTTATTTTTGTTATACTCGTATATACATTTAAAAAAAAAAATAAACAAATGAGGGGTTTTTGATTGTTTAGTTTTGTTTAGTTTAAAACTGTTGTATGTGGTCAATTATACTATGAGTATGAGTACAAAAATAAAATATTAAGAGTGAAAATATTTCACTTACTGACTTGAGTTTGCATTGGGTACTTACATTTGTTACTGTTACTAATGAAAGTCCAAACATAGTAGCACATACTATATTAGGTAAATTGTCAGGTGATTTGATATTATATTGCTTGAGGTATGTTTTCAGCAAGTATATCACAGGTTTCAAGTAGGAATGCTGCAAGAAAGTATAATTTTTTAATTAAGAATATTGAAATAAAACGAAATTAGGCTTCAAACATTTTCAAATGCCTATAGGATTATTTTATTTTTATTTTTATTGGAAACAAACATTTTTCAGTTAACATACGGATAGAGGAAACGTAGGCAGAGTGATATACTCGTACTTATTATTATTTAAATTACAAGATTAATTATCTTTTAACGTAGTAATATTTTTGTTTTAGGTAAAGTATATTTGGTATGTACCTACATTGGACTTTGATACCTGTGACTGTATTAAAACTTTTTATCCTGTTGGACCTCCTTAAAGAGAAAATGATCAAAAGTGGATACAATAGATTGTAATTAGTATTAATTATGAATAATACTGTATCCGAAAACGAATATATTGTTATCGATCATTTAAAGCCAGCCACTACTATCTTTCTCTCTCTCCCTCTCTTATTTAGTTATCTATCTATATAATCTATGTGACATAAATATATATTATATGTAAAACAAAAATACTTTATGGAATTTGTTAAGCCACCTGGCTTACCCGTGGTATCATTATTGAATTGATATACATTTAATATTTGTATAATATATAAATGTATGCAAGTACTAACCTGTGTAAGTATACAAATTACGAACAAGACGAAAAACGACCATAAAGTTAATACTTCTGGAAACGGTAGGTCCTTGACGGCATGAGAAACAGCTATGAAAAACATACCAGGACCTATAATTTCCAATAGAAATAATTTAAAAAAAAAAAAAAAATATATATATATATATATATCATTTATGCGACGTCTAAAGGACTTACCAGATATAAACACTGAATAGAACGAGATATGAAATTTACAAGCTATAATATTAGCTGTCCCGAAGACGATAAATGTGGCAGTCACCGCGCAAATGGTGTTGAGCATAGTGACTACTAATATGTTTTTTAAAATATTGTTGCGGAAATCACATTTTAGTCCGTAAATGAACAAATGACCTGTACCTACGTCTAGTGAGTACAATACTTGTTCCGCTGCTCTTCGCCACGACTGAAATACGATAAAATAAAAGCGGCAGTGGATAAACTACACAGTATTCAATTTAATTACGAAAATATATAAAATATAGGAAAAAATTAAGCGTAAACATAATCTAAACAGCAGGCGATGTACTTGGGTGTCTAGAAGATTGATTGTATTTATGTCTATTAGTGTATAGAAACCACCCCAAGCGTGTTTGTTCATCATTATAACGAATAATATGCCGAAAAGAACAGGAAATGGTGCTATGCAACCAAATAATTGCACCTAAAAATAAATTAATGTGGTCAATATATGCTATTAAAGTTCTTTAAATGTATGGTTATAGCGTTCAAAATAAATGGGAATTGTATAGTTTGAATAAAACAATAATATTAAGTTACGTTTTGTTTTGTTAACTGTGAATCATAAAATATATCATGTTTAACAGTGTTCTAGCGGTATGCACTTACCAAAGGTTTTTTTTTAGCAATCTAAAAATACCTAATACATATTTCTTATTTTATAAATATCTTTAATAAACACTTATTATAAGGCATGAATCACTATTAACTACTTCAGAAATAAAAAAAAATTAAACTATGGGATTCAATTAAGTTGCATATTAAGTATAAGTATCCAAATATGGGAATTCTGGTTGTTCCTAACTTTTTTATTGTTTGCAATTGTTGTTCTAGGAAATAGATTTTACTTTATTTAATGGATTTAATGCTAGTCAAGTGGTGTTATTGGATTGGGATTATCTACTAACATTTCAATCACTGACTAGCATACCTTTTGTTTTCAAATAATAAACTTACTCTCAAACCTAATACTTACTTAAAATAATAACATAATAATAATAATAATAATATTTAATTAATATTACCTTAATACCCATTGCAAAAATTCGTAATAGATCAATACATAAACATATTTTAACAAATTAATAAATCAGTATAATATCGAAAATTGAAAGACAAATGGAAATTACAGAGAATGTTTATTAAAATATATGTTCCGCGGCATTAGGATAGACTATGTATGAGAGGGAATAATTATTACATAAAATTATTTTACAGTGCTTCCTTCCAGACAATATTAGCTAATATAAGTAATAATATTATTATTGTTTGTTGTTATATCACTGGGTAAGAGCCAATAAGAATGTAGTATTTGGAAAAAAATTTAATGTAAAGTTGATTGTGCACGCATAACTTTCCTCAAACTCAACGAACTTAAGCAGTTGATAGCTCAAAAGAAAAATTTTTATCCAGTGATTATTCTGAGAGTGAAACGGTCAAGATCCATTTATTAGAAGAGGAGGTATTAGAATTTGAACTGCTTGAGTGAATGTGTCCTATAAGAAATGTACAGGGAAGAATCGCATTGGTGGGAGTTGAGTGAATTTCAATGATTCATAAAATATCTGTGTCTAAATACCTTTTATTTAAATTAAAAAAAAAAAAAAATATGAAAGAAATTGGCCGGATAGAATGGCTAGGTGGACTGACTTTAGTTTGCATACATTTTTTTTAAAATATAAGATAATACTAATAAACATACCTAATACTAATACTTACTTAATACCTTACTCTGAAACTTATCTCTGGTATTTGTTATTTATTCAAAATGAATAAATTGTTTATTTACTAGAAAATTTAGTGTTAGAATTTTACGTAGTAAAAACATGTGTAAAATGAATTATTAAAATATAATTGTACAATAAGATCCCATTAGTTTTGAACTTTAATACGATTGTGTTGATGTTTACGTATTTCTTAAAATTATTTGACGTTGTAAGGAAGGTGAAGTTGACGATCCATGAAAATACAAGACAAAATAATAGCGGCAAATATAAATTACCAAGTCCGTCATACAAAACATTTTGGTCCATGCTTACAATTTTAAACCTGGTAACAATATCAGTGAAATTGTTTTAATAATTCATATAGTTTTCACATTATTATATATGTTTTGAACAGTATATAAATTTTTTTTATCCTTAAAAAATAATATAATGTTCATAAAATTTATGAAATATGAAAAAGTATAAATAATAAATATTTATAATATTTAAAATCGTATACGAAAACCGAAGAGTCTTGTAAGCAGTACCAAATAATGAAAATGTAAAAACTAAAAATTTTCTTGATTGATTTTTCAAAATGAGGATTAATTATATTTTAATATTAGTAAGAAAGTTTTATTTGTACTATAACTGTTATAAAATAACTTATGGTAAAGAATTAAAAGGTACATGGTTTTTAATACATAATTTAATGCTTTCATTGTATAGAACAATAAACTATGATAAAATGTGTAGTACGTGAGTGTGACGTTCATATCTTAACAACTATATTACCTAAAATAACAATATTTTTGTTTAGATATCTACATTAGTTTAGTTTATTATGAATATAAATTTATAACAGCATAAACTCAACAGTTATAAACATTTATTTAGTCAAAAGTTTATGATTGTAATTCAACTTTTTATGTCTAGAACTACTGACTTGCGGATGATTAAAATTGTACAATTAAATAGTTACATAGTTCATATTAATTAAATAAAATATTTGATGAATTATCATACGTACAATGTACCAACCAACTTTTTTATTTAGTATTTTAAGAACTACCTTCTATTATCTCTTATAGATTCTATTACACTCTACTGAGTGTATGAGTTAAAATACTCGCACCACATTCATCGGCTAGCAGAATGAAGTCAAATAGGGATAAAATTAAATTAATATAAAAATAAAAATTTTTAAGATGCTGGACTTACAAGTAATAACTTTCCACCGGCACGCGTAGTTCAATGCCGACAGAATTACTGTCAGTATTCATCAAATTTTTGAAGTCATCTATGCACCGAGATTTATTGGCAAAAGAGCAATCCTTCCACGGTATATCTTCTTTTATAAGAATCGTGTACATATACAAGAGACATCTAGATTGTATGGGGCTATAACAAACAATGTTTAAAAGACAAATGTAACCCATGGCCACTGCTACGCCTAGATGAATGGGAAAAATAAGGGGGGAGGAAAGGAAAAAAAACAATTATTTTCGTAATATTACACGCAATCTCTAGAAATACATTGCGAAGTTGTTGTTACGATGTTCACCTTTGCCGATGGGTACCATATCACCGAGTATGGTAGGTCCTCTGCCCGAGTACTGTCCCAAAGTGGTTTCTATAAAACACCACGGGATTCCGATCAACACAACTAGTATTAGGAATTGCACTAAGAACGTACCTGAGAACAATATGTTATAATATTACAAAAATACGTTGTGACCAAACGATCGGATCGGCGCACAGTGGAATGAAACCCGTTTCTAGCTTGCTAACTTGTCAATTTTTTAAGTGTTTTCTAATTCATCGATCATCATAAATTATTTTTCTCTACTATGTTTGTAATCTATATATAGTCTAATACTTTTGAGTAACAAATAATCCATAAATTACACGGTCAACCAACGGATCCCTCTGGCGTAAAACGAAAAGCATATTAAAACTCAAAGAACAAATCCCCCCCAATAAAACCACCCAATAACAAACTAGCCATATCCGACATAGAAAAATCGAACGCATTTGCTGAATATTTCCACGAAATATTCAAACCCAACCCGCTAATCAATCATTTAAATAAAATCTACCAATCAATAAACATCACCCATTTTTTATAAATTGTGTTTGTGTTATTTTTGTAAAAATTCATGACCATTAGTAGGTTTGGGATTTTAATACTCTAAAATTTTTTTTTAAAAAAGTGTTTAAAAAATCATAAAAAAATACGTAAAAAATGATATAAAATTCATGTTATCAAAAATATTTAATTATATTTATTTTAACATAATAATAAAAAAATAGATATTTTTTTGTTAAATACTTACATTTTATGTAATTTTATTTAAATTTATTTCATAACTTTCTGTTATGATCATCGTTGAACTCTTATAAATAGAAAAATTTCTCTTGGCTATATTAATTTGGTCTATTTTTGATAAAATAAGTACATTAGTCGATTTGTTCGTATTTATTGATTTATCAATTTAGTAGATTACATACTAAACGTAAAAGTTTTGAGAGAACTAATGCCGAAACGCATAATCAAACACCCTTATATTTAAGAATTTATAGATAAATTTTGAAAAATGTCCTAACAATAACAAAATATGCCCTAAAAATGCATATAAAGTTTTCATATAAAGTTTTTATAAATTTTGCCATAAAATGCAAATTAATGCAAAATAAAAACTACATTAAATTAATCAGTATCTCTTGAAACACAATTTCTTTTTACGGACCTATGTATTGGGACATCAGAAAAAAAAATATGCATTTGTATCAAAATATCAGCCCTAATCATTAGATATATACTCAGTAGGCCTTGAATTAACTTTATTTAACTACTATCAAACTTATGTCAATTTAATGATAATGTTTTCACGTTTAAAATTAATTAGATTTTTTTTTTGCCTTTCTTAATTTGAGATGCTTTTATCAAAATATTTACGACACGCGCATCGTACGCTTCAGCCTATGTACAAATACTGGATATCGTCGTTTTCGATTTATACAGGTCGTTAAGTTTATTTTACTCTACTATGGTATCATAAGCGTGCGCAGAATTGTCTTTCAAGAGTAGCTATAGTACTTTTGAATACTTTTGGACTCTGTTTTAAAAACAAAATGTGCAAGTATATTTAATTAATCATAATGTAAAAATAATTAAATAAACATAATTTTAATTTTTTATTTAATATTGTGGTATATTAGTCCTAATTAATGTTTTCTTTGATTCTTGTATTTTTTTCTTAGATAGCTTCAATTATTTATAATTTGTACTTTTGTAGGCAATTGTAGATGTTATATTATCAAAACAAGATTTTAC